TTGTAAATACTTGGTAGTTTGTTAGGATGAGTTAGTTGTAAATAGAGGGAGCTTAGAGGATAGGTAAAAATTTTGGAATTAGTTATCTTGTAGGTGAGAGAGACCTCTCAGAAAGACTATCGGTATTTTAGTTTTCTCTTGATAGAAAATGCTTGGCATGGTCATGTGAAAATAGCCAATTTGCAGAAAGTAGTGAAACTTCTCTGAAAAACTAAGTAATTTCTCTTTCAAGACACTTCAATTTAAAATTCTTTTGAATTGCAGCTGGTTCAATAGAATTGGACCCGCATTCCTGGAGATTCCAGACTGTTCAATTGGGTATTTCAGATCGAACTATCTATTAATGGCAAAGCCAGCAAGTCTGGATGGATTTAGTCTTAACCTTTTATTTAGAAAGCTTAAATGATCAACTATTATAGATAGGCAGTCTCTTTGTGCGACTGTCTATTAACTTCTTGTCCATTTATTGCTTCTCTTACTACTATTACTTCTGCAATAATATGAATACCACCCTTACAACCGTTAGATATTTTCTAGTATTTTTTTTTTCTAATAAATATTGATAGATTGGTGTAAGATGAACATTCACGTAATTTGTCTTTCTGATAACTGTTCTGTATTTTTCAGGTCCGGTTGTTATGAATATGTCAGGTTATACTGAGAAGGGTTTCAAGAGAAAATTAGCCGTACAGGCCCTTTTTGGCAAAATCTTTTATCTGTCTGAGGTTGGTAGGATGAACAGTAGATTGTGCATAACTCCTGAAATTTGATTCTGTTTCATCATTTTTCTGTTTGTGTTTCAATACATGATCCACTTTTTCTTGATCTTTCTATCTACTCTGAAAATGTTTTTTATTCAATCTCGATAAGTCACGGACAATTGTTTGACGATCTCTCTCTCTAGTAAACCAAATGGTATCTGGATTTAAACGGAGTTCAAAAAACATGGTCTTCTGAGCTCTTTTTAACACTGCATGCGATTAAAAGTAAAATATGTTTCCATAGTATGGAAAAATATTTTAATTTTAGACACTGCATGTGATTATACGGGCGCAATTGATTAGAACCTTCCTGATAAATCCCTCTCTTTCAATAACTTCTACGATAGAATTTTATTATTAGCTTTTGGTTGGTGTAAATGTTTCTACTCCCCTTCATCAATTATAGTCTAAATGATCTCATGTCAAACTGGATGGCTTTTTGTAATCGAGCTACGGATAATCACCTTTAGTATATTTCATTCATCAATGAAATTGAAGTTTTTGAATTGAGAAGACTCCTATCCCGTGCATTATATAATCTGTCCTTTGCATTAGTAGACATGTTTAACATGACAAATTTTGTGAGGGGACAATATGAAAGAAAGTTAAAAGACATAACCTTTCTGGGATGGCATAACGGTATCACCTTTTACATAATTCATAACATTAGTTTTTTTCGGGTATGTCGTCCTGACAAAACATGTTGAGATTTATTGCTCGTGGTTCTCTCATCATATTACAATTTTGTTCCAAAGTTAACTCGTTTGATGATTTGCCTGGATGTCGCACAGCTGCCGGAGTTCTGTTCGAGAGATAGCTCTTTAACCGTCAAAGAAATATTTGGTGTTACAGAGTAGGTTTCTGTCCTTAAAAAGTTGTCTTACTTTACTTTTGATTTCAATGAGCCATTGTAGATGGGAACTTCAAAACTTTTCTTCAACACAAGTTTCTGAAACTACGTATCTTCGTTTTAGTGTTGACTTATATGAGTTTTGTTGTGTGTTTTCAGTGAAGATGCAGAAAAACTTAGAACACACACACTTTCTGAAGCTGGGGACATGGATTCTCTTCAAAAGATGGCTGAGATTTCAGATTCAGAGGATTTAAAAGATGACTCATCTGATGCATGAAATGACTAAGATAATGTAGTTTTGGTGGGGAAGTGAGACTATAAAGCCAAGCCACTTATCATGTTTTTATGGGAGCCATATGAAATTTTTGTAGTGGATAATTCTTATTTTTGGGTGGGGTGGGGATTACCTGAGGTTGAATTGTGGGATATATTGTTGAGAACTTACATTTTTACTTCGGTATTGTGTCTAGATCGTTTGAGCCATCAAGAATATGTCTTAACTAGTTGAGTTATACTTAGTTGATATTAAGTTAACTTCTAGTTTTAACTTTCTTTTACTAGTCTTTTTTTTGGATATTTGGGAGTCGGAGCTTTCCAGTCCTATACCCATGACACCTGCATCCACTCCAGTGTTCAAAATGTCGATGTCGATGAAAATGTCGAGGTCCTGATTTTACGGACATGTTGATGGATATTTCGGGAAAAATAATGAAAATTGTGGAAATTGATGGAAATTTTTTGAATTAGCAAATAAAACTTGAATTGTAGTTTAATTAGTTTATAATTGATCACCTTTAACCATAAGAATATGACCATTTTTTACCATTTACTTATGAAAATGTCGATGTCGATGAAAATATCGAAAAAAGATTTTTTCCTTTAATGAAGATTGATGGAAATTATATACTTTAATTGTAAAATTTTGGCTAGTGCTTTTCGTAATAGGACTCATTTGGAAATGAGATAATTACCGACTTGGTTGTCAAACATATTTCTAAATTATAATTAACTCATACTTGTTTACTTTTTACCTACTCCTCTTTTCAAATTTGAATTTACACATTTTTCAAACAAATTTTCAAATCAATCATCAATCCAACTTTCCAATCAAATTTATACAATTTCCAAACACCTCAACCTCGTGATTGTGTCAATCATCGTAATTTATATCAAAGTGATCAAGATAGTGCACTAGATCCTTCGAGATCATCTTTTTGGTATTAATTAAGTTTCACCACTATTTGTATATAATAATATTTTATTTTTTAAAAATTCTATGATTATTTCAATCTTTATATATGTCAATATTTCATATATATTGTTAAATTGTGTAACTAAGGACTAGATTGGATTAGAAATTACAATAAAGCAAAATCCAAATTTTATTAGTTATACTTTATAGAGTATTAAAATGCGAATGTTTCATTGAACAGATTAAGATTACAAACGTTGTGAGAAATTATAGACTGTAGTGACATAGTAGGAAGATGATTAAAATAAAATAACCTTAAAAAAAGAAGAGAAAAAAAAAAGACACGTCGACGACATGAGAGGAAAATCGACTTTTCCCGCCCTATGTCGATGTCGAGCATGTCAACATGTCGAGCGACATGTCGACATATCTCTCGACATTTTGAACCTTTATCCACTCTAATATCCAAATCTAAGAGAGATCAATAATCTTTGGTGTTAAGCTCACTAGAAAGTTCGAACTTGAAATCTCTAAGTTAGTATGACTAAGAGACTCTAAACTCTTCCCAATCGAATGACTCTTAAGAGTTTCTTTTCAATTAGTCTTGAAAGCCTTGGGCTTTGATTAGTTTTAGAAATTTTCAATTGAGAAGTTAGACTTGGCGTTTAAAATATACTTTTTCTTTGAAACAAAGACTGCATTATAAAGAAATAATACCACTAAGTGTTACATCAGAATAGTGATGACCATGCATCACAATTACATCAGATTCTCCAAATCACGCTTAATATAATTAAGACCGATAGTCTCCCCATATTCCAAAACAATGTTCGAGCTGATCGCCGCTGCACCTTCGTCATTGCCCATCTTTTGCTCTATTTTATTTGCTCCTGGACTATGGAAGTTCTCTAAACCAAGATACAACGAAGATGAAGAGTCATCCTAAGAGATCACAATCGGGTGCCCTCCTCAATTACGTGCCTGATAACTCTTCAAAACACCTAAGTGACGAAGCCACATACCATACATAACAATATTGTCTTTGATTTTGTCAGTCGCAACGATACTATCAACATCCAACGGGAAAATCTTGACACCAGACCATTGTCGGTCATCACATAAATCAATGAGGAAGAAGGATCTTCCTCGAAAATTGTTTCTACAGCAGTAAGAGAGTTCCCTGTATTATTTTGATCGATGCTACTTGCTTATTGAAAAAAACCATGAAAGAATTGAAACAAAGCAGAGAGCAACACCCTATGAAAAAACCATGGGAAGAAAAAACAGAGGAGGGGAGCAAGGGCCACCCTGCCTCCCTCCACCACGTACTTTCTATTTCACCCTCTATCTAGCACGTATTTTTCTATATTTCCTCTTTCTTAATGTTTAAGATTTAAAGATTCAATTTAGGAGGCAACATGAGCTTAACTCAGCGATAATTAAGATATATCTTACATTGTTGCACTTCACATGATGTTATTTAATTCAAAATAATTTTTTAGGGCTTAAAACCTCTTTTATCCCTACATATTGACATGAGATTTAAAAAAATAATAATAAAGCAACTAAAATGGTTAGTAGATGAATTCGATATTTTATGCTGGTAAAAGTATAAAAGATTTATGAACAAAAATTCTAAACTACAGGTACTAAAAAGTAGCGACTAAAATACGGGGAGTTTCAATCTCCAAACAAAAAAAAAAAGTAGACAAAATATTATTGCTGTTTATTAATGGAAAGTTGAACACATAAATTGGCAACCAAACAGACGAAAATGAGAAAACAAGCCACCGGCAGTTGGACGGAGTAATCGAAGCAGCATTCTGCTGATCCAACTGCCTTAACACATCTTCTTCTTCTTCTGTTGTTCTTGTTCGATTCATATATCAAATTTCCAAATTTCTTTGGACACTTCTCACACCGATAGATTTCTTCGGTTTACAGAATTCAGTTCAGAATGATTCGTCCTTCACTTTCAATTTCAAATCCCTCTTCTCCTTCTCCTCTCCAATTTCCTAAACCCCACAAGTTCTCCAATTATTCCGGCCGTTTTTGCCCGCCGGTTTCGGTAATTCGATGCGAGGGTGTGCATTCTTCGGCCGCCGCGGCGCACTCTTCTTCTTCTTCTTCTTCATTGCCATTTTCGAAGGTGAGTGAGAATATGGAATCGGGAGACGGCTCTTCCAAGGCCGGCCCGTATCCCGGCGGAATGGGCCCCTACACCGGCAGAGACCCGAGCGTGAAGAAGCCTGGTTGGTTGAGGCAGCGCGCTCCTCAGGGAGAGAAGTTTGAGGAGGTCAAGGACTCGTTGTCTCGATTGAATCTCAATACTGTCTGCGAGGAGGCTCAATGCCCCAATATTGGAGAGGTTCTTCTCTTAACTTCGAACACTGATTCGTTTTATTCATGGTGATTTAAAGAACTTAAGATCTCGTGTTTATCGACTGGTTATGATTAACAGCTAGCTCAGGGTAGTAAATTCTATCTGGGGTTCTTTTAGGCCAGTTTGATAATCATTTTGTTTTTGGTGTTATGTTTTTCAAATCGTTTTCAGAAACTCATTTTTGTTTTGGAATTTGGGTAAGAATTTGAATGTATTTGAAGAAAGGTGAAAACATACTATACTAAAGAAATGACGAGCAATCAAGCATAATTATCAAAAACAAAAAACAAAAAACGAAATGATTATCAAACGAGTTCAGTTATCTGGTTTCGAGTTGGAATTGGGTTTGTGTCAATGAAGCTGCAGAATTAAGAATTTTCCTCATAATTCTAATGTTTTTGGCAGTGTTGGAATGGTGGAGGGGATGGGATTGCAACTGCTACAATCATGCTTCTTGGGGATACATGCACTCGGGGATGTAGATTTTGTGCTGTAAAAACCAGCAGAAACCCTGCACCTCCTGATCCAATGGAACCAATTAACACTGCTAAAGCTATTGCCAGTTGGGGGTATGTGATAATTAGATTACCTTATACCTTCTTGAGAATCTTCCTTCCCTCTGTCTATTAAGGGTGAATTGATGGGTGTTTATCGTACTTGACCTCGTGTCGATGATGCTGACTTATATCTAACTCGCAAAGCAATTAACAAGAATCTATATAGTGTTCTAGCTTTTTTTTTTTTCTTTATCATTTTGTTGATATCTAGATGATTTGTTGTTCTGCTATCAATCTAAGATGAAAGAGCTGTTACTGGTTGAATGACTTTATCTCAACATGAAGGGGAAGTGAAATGAATTCCTGATATCATCTGGGGTTTGCTTGGCATATATTGGCTGTTCTCAATATACTTGTTTTGAGTTAATGGATGTAATTAGTTTTTAATGATGTAGAATTCTTTTTCCATATTCCTTTTTAGTGTGGATTACATTGTCCTAACAAGTGTGGATCGCGATGATATTCCCGATGGAGGAAGTGGACATTTTGCCCAGACCGTCAAAGCTATGAAGGTCTAACAGATTTTTCTACCATGGTTCTTTTTTCTTCTTATTTGTAAACTCTAATTACTGAAGGTTTCTTGGAAAAATTACTGGAAGTTTGATTCATCTTAATGAATCTCTTGTGCAGGAACTTAAGCCTGAGATCATGGTTGAATGTTTAACTTCTGATTTTAGAGGTGACCTGAATGCTGTGGACACTCTAGTGCACTCAGGATTAGATGTATTTGCTCACAATATCGAGACTGTGAAACGGCTTCAACGAATCGTAAGAGATCCTCGAGCTGGGTAAGTTTCATCACCAATTAACTTACTGTGCAAATTCATCTCCAAAAGTGAATACAGTTTTGCCTTCAGGTTCCTGAATCTTAAATCACGATCCAAAAGAAATTATGTTTTTCTCTATTACTCGTTTCATGATAAATAACTCAGACCTTGGAACATCTGCTTTCTGAAGAACCAATGAAGGATTTCAGTTCAACGTATTTGGAATCCTTATTTTCTTGACCAGTTTTTTAATTTGTTAGTTATGCATGCTTCACCTGGTCGAGATTCTCACATACGTTTCGGTACTATGCAGGTACGACCAGAGCTTATCCGTTTTAAAACATGCAAAGCACAGCAAGCTGGGAATGATCACTAAAACTTCAATCATGTTGGGCCTCGGAGAAACCGATGACGAATTGAAGGAAGCTCTAGCTGATTTAAGGGCCATAGATGTGGATATTCTTACACTTGGCCAGTATTTGCAGGTTTGTTCATCCTTAGCCGTCTGACTCATAGATACATGTATTATTCCTCACATTGAAATATGATAGTCCTTGGCTCAACTTACCTTCCATGGAACCGATTTGAATGAAGTCCGGCCGAATTTGGCCAAGTTCTGACTGTTCTAAGTTCTTTTCCTTTGTTGATCGTAATGGTTGTAATGTGGATCATTTTTTGCAATCCCTTGGGTATTATAGTGTGATAACTTCTGGGAGAAACCAAGGGCTGCATCAGCTCATGCATATTAGAAGTTTCAGTAGACCCATCACTTGTCGACAATTTAATCGCTCGTTTTTGTTAAGACACGGTTGTTCTCTTGCAGCCTACCCCATTACACCTGACTGTCAAAGAATACATCACTCCCGAAAAGTTCGCATTCTGGAAAGAATACGGGGAGTCGATTGGGTTCCGATATGTGGCTAGTGGACCCCTGGTAAGCTTTCTTCTAGAATTAGCTTCTTAATAAAATCTGAGATGCGTGTGTGTTCTCATAATGTATCCAAAAGTGAGTTCATCTGGGACTTCTTATTTTCTTGTTATTCGGTCAGGTTCGATCCTCATACCGGGCAGGCGAGCTCTTCGTCCAAACCATGGTTAGAGAAAGCGCCAAAATCACAACCGTAAATTGAAGGATCAGCACTCCCACTGTGGCCTGAGTTCAAGTTCGAGTTCATCAGCGGTGTTTCCAGAATTTGGTGGCCCTGTAACATAGAAAAAGAGGAGGGAGAAGCCATGGCCAACAACATTGAAGGATCATCAGTTTTCCAGCTGAGGCAGCAAGCACTGGTATGGCTCTCCTGAGTTAGTTTCTTTTCCCAATTATTGGACCAATTTTGCCAGCTATTATATCTTGTATTTACTCACATTTTGTCTTCTTTTAAGATCAATTATTTAATCTCAACCTCAACAATTTTTTTTTTCTCTTAGAAAATGCAATTTGGGTTGGAATATTTGAAACCAAGATCAATAACATTGTAATATCATATGTACTCTTCAAACTTTAGTTTAATCACAGGATTTTTTTTTGTGACTTCCACTTATCGATCCCGGTCCGGAAAAATGACCGTCCAGGGCCCCTTGAGGCTAGGAGGTCTTTTCCTAAGTAAGTTGTTAATTTTTAATTTGTTTTAAGCTTTTGGAATATTGTCTTTTTATAATAATGAAATAAAGCATGATTTTGGTCAATTATTGATTCGATGTGTGACAGACTGTGACAGTATGTACACTAACTAATCCATTAATCTTAAGGTTTGATAATTATTTTGTTTTTTATTTTCTGTTTTTTAAAATTAAATTTAAAAATATTATTGTTTCTTTATTTTTGTTACGTAGTATTTATAAATATTTTTAAAATCTAGACAAAAATTTAAAAAAAAAAGTAATTTTTGTTTTTAAAATTTGACTACAAATTTAAATGAGTTTTCAAACTGCACCTAAATTATTATATTGTCTCCTTTTTTTAATGAATTTTTAATAAAAATAAATAACTAACAATTTAAACCGCAAGCCCACGACATATTTGGTTGGACAATTTTTCTTCTGATTTTTGTAATTTAATGCCATCTATAAACATTGTTGTTATTTTTCTAGTACAACATCAGCGGGGATTTGAACTCTTTAGGTACTTTATCTTTTTGTCAATTTTTTTTTTTTTGCTATTTTTCTCATGATTCCTTTTAATTGTTCTTTTTTTTGCATTAACTAAGTTTTACCTGTAACTTTTTTTAGTTTAAATATTATTTTGGTTTATGTACTTTCGGTCTTGGTTCATTTTGGTCTTTGATACTTTCAAAAAGTTCATTTTAGTTAATGTATTTTCAACTTTTGTTTATTTTATCCACTGTGGTTTCGAATCGTATGTTTTGGTCCTGTATTTTTTTAAAAACAATCATTTTAGTATCTATTTACAAAATCTTAACACATATACAGTGAAAACCTTCTAATTAATACACATTTATGACTACATTTCAAAAATTTTAGTGGTTGAAATGTTAGGCTAAAATTGTGATCTAAATAAGAGATAAAAATGACCATGAAAAAAACTAAAATAGTCACATTTTAAAAAACAGAAGGACCAAAATGGACGTTATCAACGTTTAAAAACTAAAATTAACCAAAGTTGAAGGTATATGAACTAGAATCAACATTTTTTAAATATAAGGATTAAAATAAATTAAAGTAAAAGTTCAACTAGGATTTAAACTTTTTTCATTCTTTTATTTTTTTTGGTACTTTAAACTTTTTTCATTCAATGATTATTGTTTGCTGCAATTTCTTAAAATTAAAAAAATTTAAAAAGAGAAGGTTACGAAAAAAGTAAATTTTGTAATCTATTTATGCTAATGTTATTAACTAAATTTTCATTTAAAATACGTAAAGAATTGCAACTTTTTAAAAAGAGTCCAAGGTATTGCCCACGGTGTTTTGGCATGCTATGCGTAATTCTACTAAATGACTCACACGACTTTCTAGAAACTTCTCTTTCAAAATTCAAAAACTTTGGAAAAGTGGTTTCTTCTTCCATCTATACCCTTTGTTTTTCTCAATAACGCTGACCAAAAGTCTTTCTCACTTTTCTTTTTTCTTTTGATATCTGTAAATGTTCGGATCAGTCTGCACACACATTAATTAATGATCATACTACATTTGGTTGTCAAAGAAATATCGAGCTATGCAAGAAATTTTTTGGTACTACGAGAGTATGAATACTCATTTCATTCGTTGCTTCTCACGTCAGCATCATATTAAAAACCATGTGAGATCCACCAACATAAAAGATTTATTTGTATAGGTAAAAGCAAGTGTAATATTCTCGTAGTACATGAATTATTTTTCTGAGTTACACTCAAGTTGTCAGCTAAATTATGGTATTAATTATTAATGAAATTGATATACACAGACAAGTTAAAACCATGTGTGTTGATTAAGGGTAGATTTAAGATTTGGGTTTACATCTAAGTTGTTTGTTTAACAAATGGAGGGTAGTCATGAAGGTAACAAGTATCTTATCCATTGTGTTGTATTTGAATTGTCCATCCACGCACATAAACTTTCAGTATTTAAAATATGATCAATTTAAATATCAAAACTTTAATGTAATTTTGAATATTTTAATCCTTCAACTTTTCTTTTGAATACAACATATAGATTGAGGATTCAAATTTATGACCTTTTGGTCGGACCAGTTGAGCATTTTTTTTTTAATACAACATGTAGATCGATAATTCAAATTTATGACCTATTGGTCGGGCTAGTTGAACATTTTCTTTTGAATACAACATGTAGACTGAGGATTCAAATTTATGACCTTCTAATCGGACCAGTCGAACTATGCTAAAGTTGATTTTTACCTATTCAACTTTCGTGCACTACCTTCTATAGAAACCATCAACATCATTATAGATATTACAAAACAATGGTCTATTTTCAGAAACAATGGAGATTTTGAAGTCCAAAAAAAAAAAAGGAATAAGTTAAACATAAGAAGTGGTTTTGAAATAAAGTGAAAGAGCCCAATCAGAAACAACTGACCCACTATTTCTATTGGTTTCTTAATTGTTCCAAAACAAGGGGCTATGCTTCCATTGTTTTTCAACTCTCTAAAGTTTAAAACTACGTGAAAAAATTGGGTTACTTACCGCCATTTAAATATTTGACAACTCAATAATTTTTTTAATTTTTTTTAATTTTAACATTTCTCTGTCTTAGTATTCAAATATTTAATGGTGTTAAAAAGGAAGTTCATTCTATGGAGTTTTTTCATTTTTCTCTCATCTATAACCAAATATTTCATATCTCTTCCTCCAACCATTTTCTTGTCCTCAATTTAAGATCCAAGCCTTGTTTGCACTATATTGAAATAGTAATAATAATATTTAAATATATTATTTTTAAAGTAATGAGATCATAGAAGATGTTTCGAAAATATAGAAACAAAAATGAACCACGATTGAAAATAGAGAAATCAAAATAGGATTTGAACTTAACATCAACAAACATAACCCAATTGGTCAATATTAAAGACAAAACAACCATAAATTTTTGGGAGAGACAAATTTTACATTTAAACTATTTTTCTTTTTGTCTAGTCGTTTATTTACTTCAAGTAATGCACCCATGATAAACTAACATATCGTATCATTAAAATTTACTTTACAGAGCTAATAATAAAAACAATATATAATCACACTACAAAGTTCAAAGACATTACTAAAATTTTTAAAATTTATCGATCACACACACGAGTATCAAAATTTCGAGACGAAGATTAAACTCGTAATTTATCATAATAAAAAATTGTTATTGTAAATTTACAATGAAAATTTCAAAAGAGTAGACGCAATTATGGTGGTGGCAAGGCAATGGCATTGTCGTCCCAAAATGAATTAAATTTAATTAAAAAATTTTTGATTGGAAGAAATGAAAGGAAAAAACAGGGAAATGAGGTGGAATATTAAGAGTAATATTCCCTTATGCTTGCCCCACAAGTTAATTGGGAGGCGCGTGAAACGCCATCATGAAGAAGAGCGCGTGGTGTCCCTACGATCTCCCGTAGCCCATAGTTATCGAGGGCCATAGATCCAATCCACGTGTCCCACGCCACTCACTCGCCTCCCCTCACGCACACAGCTTTTACCCCACATGGATTTTTATTTTCCCCCCATATTTTTCATGTGAATGATTTTTTTTAATAATAATTATTTTCTCGCAAAGGAGTACTATTAAAACCAAATATCAAAAAATTATTTTATTGTTTTTTTTAGTTCTATTTCTTGCTTGCATATTTTGGTAACTTCATTGAATTCCAATATCATATTTACTGACTCCAAAAAAGAAAAAAAAAGTTAAAATACATAAACATTATTTATATTTGCAATATAACAAATTGGAGGTGGATACACGAACACGGCTCGATTAGTCGAGATTTTAATGAAGTAAAATTAATATTTCTTTTATGCAAAATTGAACAATTGAAATAAAAATATTTGAGTCTTAAAAGTTGAGGTAGAAACTAGAGAGAAAAAAATACTGATATATTTAAAATTTTATTTAATTGCATACAAATATTTTTAAAAATGTATTTTATTTGTTCTTAAGTTGAGAATTAAATACAAATTCTTAAATCTTAAATTATCAAAAAAAGGGTCAGGTACAATTTAGATTTTTTTTTGTTGCTTAAAAATGTTTTCTGTATTTAGTTTTAGTCTACAATTTAGTTTCTATTGTGAATTTTTTGTTAAGTTTCTTATATATGTAAAACGATAATGAATCAAATGTATTTATAAATTAAAAAACTAAGTTGTTATAGGATAAAAATCGACACTTAATTTTGATGAATTTTTTATGATAATAATTAAATTATTACAAAATTTAAATTACAGGGACTAAATTATCCTAACAAAATTATTGCTAATTTGACTTAATAGTTACCTTAGTAAAAATAGGGACAAAATTTGTTTTCCAATTTAGCAAATTTCGCCCTTAAGAAAAATGTTTAAATTTTAATTTCTGTTTAAAATTTTAAAATAATTTAATTTATTTACGGAAGTTTCCACTTTCCATATTAGCATTTCTTTTTTCAATTTTTAGGTCAATATTTCGACAAATATTCTCTGTTGAATATATAGTTTTACGGAGCGGTATAGGGAAGAACCAGAAACGGTGGTAGCGGAATCCTGAGGCCTTCTCCATTTCACACAACTCCACGCTACAGACACAGCTGAAGAACAAGAACAAGAACAATAACAACAAGAACAAGTTCAGTTGATCTCAAATCTGTTCTTCACCAACACGAGGTAGATGAAGATCTCTCTCGGATATTCATCTTTGTCTCCGATTTTTTCTGTTTCTGTTTTTCTTTTTCTCAAACTTGTCATAGATTTTGATGTTTTGATGTTTCCTTCCTAGTTTTCTGTTCCTTGAGTTATCAGTTAATCTCTACTCTTCGAGTTTTTCGGATCTCATTCTATTTACCTATCCTGGATTGATTGATTTTTTTTTCCCATTTTGTTTTTCTTTTTGTATATATGTTTCACGTTTTTGGGTTGATTTACAGAACCCTAGCGAAGAGGAAGCAGTAGCAAATGGCCAATATTGATATTGAGGGGATTCTCAAGGAACTTCCTAGTGATGGACGTATCCCTAAAACGAAAATTGTCTGTACTCTGGGACCTGCTTCCCGATCGGTGCCTATGATTGAGAAGCTTCTCAGGGCTGGCATGAATGTGGCTCGTTTCAATTTCTCTCATGGTACCCATGAGTATCATCAAGAAACCTTGAACAATCTCAGGGCCGCCATGCAGAATACTCAAATCCTTTGCGCCGTCATGCTCGATACCAAGGTATTTTTCTTTTCCCGCTATGGTCTCTGTTAAAAAATGACGAGGCATGCGATAATTCGAGATGGTATTTTATGTTTCTCTAATATTTATCATTGGTTCTGGCTTGGGTGATTTGAAAATGGATGCAAGAACGATCTGGATTATAGATTGTGGAATATGAAAATTCCTGATGTTTTGCTTGTCAATGCACTTGCAAGGTTAAGAACCTCGTTGAAATTGTTTTCTCATTTGTTTCACGTCAAGATCCAATGACAATTGACACCATCTTAGTTGTACGAAAACCACCATATCAAATACAATGGTGACACTTGGGGCAAATCTTGTATTATTCGCCTTTCGGTGTCTCTGGAGATTTTTTTCCCTATTGCAAATAAGTAAATTTTGGGTTCCCTTTGAAATTCAGACAACCTGATAAGCTGATATGCAGTTTACGAAAAATATTCAATCTATATCTTAGTCTGAGAATTAGTTGCGCTGGCTGCATGATTTTTCACTTTAAATCTGGTACATATTGACGGATTTTCAAAAGCTATATATGGCCTCTAAATAAGTGATTGTGGAGTAACAATTTGCTGTTAGTTTGTGTAGTTGGATGGTATTGATATGTATGAATATCATCATATTTGGCAGTTTTGTTGCTGGTGGTAGATATACTGGCACAGCTCCTTTTGGTATTTTCACTTGCCTGTGGTCAGGTTAATATAGTGTTTGGAAGCCTTTTTATTTCTTTTTCCAACTCCTGAACTTTAAATTCTGAAGTCTTACCTATCTTGCAACACTTTCATGATCCTTTGCGTGTAAAATGTCTAATGCAAAGACGATGTCTTGTAGGAGAGTTTGCCTAATACTGTCTTTTTGCTACTATTCATGCAAACATTTTAACTAGAGAACTTAAACATCTGTATAGTCCTTTGGTTATCTGAGGCGACACATGTTTGTTTCCTTGGTAAAGTTGGAGCTTGAGGATCAAATATATACTGTATTAAAAAATACTTGCACTTCTGAAAAAAAAATGCATCAAGTTAAAAAAATTCCTGGCGTACTAGGTTCATTTAATTTTTTGTTTTTTTTTGGCATTTGCATACTGAATTCTCATGATGCTTCTCCTCTTATTCACCATGGTAGGGACCAGAGATTCGAACTGGTTTCCTGAAGGATGGGAAACCTATTCAACTGAAGGAAGGTCAGGAAGTTATCATAACTACAGATTATAGCATCAAGGGGGATGAGAAAATGATCTCAATGAGTTATCAGAAGCTTGCTGTTGACTTGAAGCCAGGAAATACTATATTGTGCTCAGATGGCACCATCACCCTCACTGTCCTGTCTTGTGATGCAGTAGGTGGGACGGTGAGATGTCGTTGTGAAAACACTGCCATGTTGGGAGAAAGAAAGAATGTGAATCTTCCTGGTGTAGTGGTGGATCTTCCTACTCTGACAGATAAGGATAAAGAGGATATTCTCGATTGGGGTGTTCCCAACAGTATCGATATGATTGCTCTTTCATTTGTCCGTAAGGGTTCTGATCTAGTCAATGTCCGCAAGGTTCTTGGCCCCCATTCAAAGCATATAAAACTGATGTCAAAGGTCTGTATTGTGCTTCCAGTTCCAGTTCTTATTTTATTTATCTACAATGATAATTATCATCATCTGTTGCTTCTTATGGTTAGACAGTCTTGGATAGTTTTAGACATTGCATGCGGTTGCTTGACTACTTTGTTATTTAGGTTAGGAATTGTACATTTTCATCGTGGAAATCAGTATTACACGACTAAATGCATTAGGAGCTGCTCAGCTGGCTTTGATTTGGTGCTTTCTGCCTTGCGAAATCCTTATTTTGTTGTTGCTTCCATGTATGCATGCTTTGTGCACAAAAGTTTTGGATTCTTCGTTTGATTCATACATCAATGTGGGCTAGTTGAGTGGGTTGTCAGTTAATGAGTTGTTACATTTGATGCCAAGGTATTGCTCGCAACCATATTGGGCATTTTATATGCATACTTTCAATATTTAGTCTTTCTTTGTACATGCTTTTCATCTAGTATATTTCTTACTTTAAAAACAATGTTTATTTCCAATATTGTTGCATTACATATTGTTTGGATCTAATGGTTATTTATCTTTTGCTGTGGATACCCAAGGTTGAGAACCAGGAGGGAGTTATCAATTTTGATGAAATCTTGCGCGAGACTGATGCATTCATGGTTGCTCGAGGTGATCTTGGAATGGAAATTCCAGTTGAGAAGATCTTCTTGGCGCAGAAAATGATGATTTACAAGTGTAATCTTGCTGGCAAACCTGTGGTTACAGCCACCCAAATGCTTGAATCAATGATCAAATCTCCACGGCCAACTCGTGCAGAAGCAACAGATGTAGCTAACGCCGTTCTTGATGGCACTGATTGTGTTATGCTTAGTGGTGAGAGTGCAGCTGGGTCATATCCTGAACTTGCTGTCAAGATCATGGCTCGTATTTGTATTGAAGCAGAATCATCCTTGGACTATGGGGTCATCTTTAAGGAGATGATAAGGGCCACCCCACTTCCAATGAGCCCATTGGAGAGTCTTGCATCCTCAGCTGTTCGAACCGCTAACAAGGCAAAAGCGAAGCTCATTGTCGTGTTGACTCGTGGTGGAACCACAGCAAAGTTGGTTGCCAAGTATAGGCCAGCTGTTCCGATCCTCTCAGTCGTCGTCCCTGTTTTAACTACTGATTCTTTTGATTGGACCTGCAGCGATGAGGCCCCAGCCCGACACAGCCTGATCCACAGGGGCTTGATTCCCATACTTGCTGAAGGATCTGCAAAGGCCACTGATGCCGAATCCACAGAAGTGATACTAGAAGCTGCTCTGAAATCAGCCATGGGAAAGGGACTGTGCAATCCTGGCGACGCCATTGTTGCACTTCACCGTATCGGAGCTGCCTCCGTCATCAAGATATGCATCGTGAAGTGAATAAAATAGACAAGCGAAATTCGGAATCGCTCCCAGGTGTGCGTTCCTTATCTCTATTTACCATTGCAGTCGGATCTCAATCTATCCTTTTTTGCTGATTATTACAAGTATAGTGATTTAGTATTTCATCTAAAGAGGGCTGAACCGGTATTTTGATTTTCTTGTTGTGAGAAGGGGGTGGTGGATATTCCCCTGGATTTTTTTGGACTGATTGCTGTGTAATTTTGAATAGTGAAGAGTTTATGCTATTAATCCAATCTTCTTCTTTTAGGGAGATGAAGAATTGGATCAGACTTTCATCAATTCCCCAAAATTTTCTGCTCTACTTTCAGTTTGTAGCATTCTAAATCATTAGTATGGGAAAATTTTGGTCGTAATAGATCGACTTTCATGCTAGTTCTTGCTCCAGCATGAAAGTTCCATTTCAAGGAAGGACGAATAGCTACTTCCTCCATTCACAATTTGACACATGATTAAGTGATTTATTATTTTATTTTAGGGGCTCTACATTATTCTTAAATACATTTGTTATGACAAACAATTAATGGAGGGAGACGTATGGAAACAAATTTCAACTACATAGTACTAAAAATTTTCCAACATGTAAAAAAGGGAAAAATTGTTCCAAATAAATTTCATTATTACATGAATTCTTTTACATTTGGGTCGTAGGTTCTAAAATTAATAGTATTTAAAGGGAAAATTACACTTATAAATGTAAAATTGATGAATATCCTTTTGCATTCAAATGATTTTATACCTAAAAATTTAGAAAACTAAAAAGGTAAATAACAATGTATTTTTAGTTACAAATGTAATTGTAAGGGTTAAATGTCTTGGATTTGTAAGCTACTTTAACAAATTAATAATATTGTGGCTTTGAAGATGTACCTTAACATATTGATGGATAAATATTAGATTATAAAAAATAAAATAGAGATTTTAAAAGTTCAAAATTTAAATATTCACAAAGTTGCAAGGATTGGAATAAAACAAATTTAAAGGCTAAAAATATTATTTGTAAGTGATTATGAGTCAAAACGTTTGCTTTGGACTCCAAAAGAGACAACGTTGGGATTTTAAATCTATTATAAAAATAAAGGGTGAACCATCAGTGTTGAAAAAGAACAAAAATAAAATGCCCTAAAAATTGTCAATATCAAAACCAAAATAGTCAGAGATCCATACCACTTACGTGTCCAAATAGATATGTCTACAGATTTTTTTTTATCATGTCACATTCTAATTTAAATACTATTTTTATTTTATTATAGTAACGTGAGAATGGAGATCGAACTTCCGACAACAATATGCCTTGATCGTTGTATTTAATTATCAAATAATTAAAAAAAGTCAATTCATATCCATTGCTTAAAATTAATCGGTGAAATTAAGTTTACTTTTCATACCATTTCGTAAATATAATTTTTTGAGCATAAAAAATTTGTTTTTGAATTTTTAAAATTGTGCTAAAAGGAAGGCCAAAATAGTAAATACAATATCATTAGTTTTTTTTATTTATTTTTCAAATGAATATCATTAGTTTTCTAGATAGTGAAACGTTGATTGGATATTCTTTTAATTGATTTTATAATTTCTTAGGATGGCATGGTAATGCTTTATTGATTTTATTTTATATATCTTTTTTTTTGTTTCTGTGATAAAATTAGTTATTAAATCAATTCATTAATTACTTGAAAATTAACAAAGCATTCATTATTAAGGAAATAAAACACAGAATTACGTGCCTAAAAGATAAAAGAGTCTAAAAACAAAATAAACAAGGAAACAATAATTGCTAAAACAAGCATAGCTTTGTAGTAATTGACGTATATTTCCAACTAAAAAATTGTGACTTATCTTCACCCGCACATGTTGTAATAAAAAAAGAGCAGAAATGATAATTAAAAAAAAAAAACTCTTTTTTCCTCATTCTCCCTTTATGCATTCATCTATCCATCTTTTTTTACTGTTAATTTTTTATTAGTCTACTACTAATCAATCAATACCAAAGTAACAATTAGGTCGGTTCTATCATTTATCAAACTTTCATCTATTCATCCTTTTTTGCTGTCAAATTTTTAATAATCTACTAAATCGATCAATACCAAAGTAACAAGTAGGTTGGTTCCAAAACGAGCATAATTCAACGGTAATTAACATATATCTCCAACTAATAAATTTTGAGTTCGATCTCTCATCCGCATATGTTGTACTAAAAAGCAAAACAAGTAAGTCGGTTCCATCATTTATCAAACCCGACGGAAAAAACTAAACAAAAAGATGTGCACTATTTTTTTTTTCCTTTAAAACTTAGCCCCACTATCCCACAAACTTGTTGGGAAAAAAAAATCTATAAGTGGTTTTTTTTTTCAATACTAATAAAGTCTCCTCTATCTTCTCTCACTTCACGATCATAGAAATTGTCTTTTGGAAAATAAAATTCAACCACGGAAATCAAGTTTTTGTGGATTTAATTTGTGGCCAACCAAACAAAGGCCTTGTAAAAATTAGAAAAAGCAAAAAGAAAGTTGGTTTTTTCAAAAAGAATACAAATTTCAAATCAAACAAGAGAGAAAGGGAAAGGATTTTAGCACACTTTCTCTTCTTCCACTTTCTTCTTTATTGCTTCACATCACCCTATAGTGTTTTGTCTTTCTGCCATAATGAAAAGGAAAGAAGCCAAACGAGAGAGGAAAAGAACACTAGTACTGAAAATTCGGGTCGGTCGATTTTGCTATGGAAAGATCGAAATGAAGTGTGAAATCCAACTCTTATGTTTTCGAGTTGGGTTACGTTGGGTTGAGTCTTCGGATTGCTAGTTTGGATTTGATTATTAGAGTTGGTGGGTTATTCAAACCCTCCTAATTCTCTCTCTTTTCGCGGGAAAAAGAGATTTAGAAATCTGATTGAAATTTTTTAGGTTAATATGAAACTTTGAGGACTGTGTTATTAAAAGCTAAGTTTGACTACGATTTTGAAAGTTCAAAGATTTTTACCATATGAAGACTTATTAAACAGGATCTTAAAAATTTAATGACCAAATTTGACCAAACTTTTAATATTACATTGGAAGTACAAAGAAAACTTTCAAAATATTTGGAAGGCGTACGTTGTAAACCAAATGATATATTTAAATATATGTGTTTGATATTGACTCGGTCTTGTTTTATCTTTTATATTAATTGAGTATTTCACTATTAGGACGATGTTAGAAAAATCAATGACATAGTTAATTCAATTGAGAGCTTAAACAAAGTGAAACCTAATGGGTCAGAATAGTTCATAATACCATAATTATTTATGAGTTGAGTTATCATTTAAATTGTAAATTCGTCCAACACAAACGAAGTTACCTAACCTACATAATTAGAGTAATGAATTGTTCGTCATCAAAATTTTTAATCAACCTTATGTAAACAAATCATTTTTCTCAGTGATGTTTAGGCGTACGTCATATTTTCTTTAGCGTATTTTGGTCTCTATATTAAAAAAAAATTACTTTAGTTCATGTATTTTAAAAAGTGAATATTTTGATCCCACAAAATTCTAACATATTTTATAGACAGTGAAAAATCCGTTAATATAACATTATAACATTTGATAATATTTCAAAAAAAAGTTATATTATTCATAGTGTTATGCTTGAAAAAAAATATAAAGTAAATAAGATATAGTGATCAAAATAATCACTATTTAAAATATTGAGATCGTGAACCTAAATTTAGCTCCACTAATTTTATTTGTTGTGAAGTAGAATTTCAATGTTCATTAAAATAAATAATGATCACTGTAATTCACTAGGAAACTTACTAAGATGTTACTCTGCACTTTTTTATTTTCTAGAGTTCAAATTCTTACGTTGTTGTACTAAAAAAATATTAAAATCAAACGGGAGCCTACCTAGGGTCCACTTCCAACGTGGCTGTCATGTTTTATTATCCACAAATCCCACACCGAGAGAGATTCCTTATCCTTTTCGACATTAATCGGCCACTAAGCCCGTTTCTTTTTCGCTGTCTTTAATTATTAAATTAATTATTTCTCCTTATTTTTCATTTATCCTATTACGATATTTCGAATTAATATCTTGGATAAATTTACTCGAATATTTCTGTCATTTCCCATTTTTGTATGCTCACAACGAATTACTTTAAATGTCAAAAAGAAAAAAAAAAGAAAAATTACTTTCAAGCTTGTCTTTGTACTTTCCATAATTTTCACAAAATTTGTGTAATCAACCATTCACCCATTGCTAGCTTGAGTTTAGTTCAACGGGTGAAAATACATATTTGTGATTAAAAAGTCGTAAGTTCGAATTCAACTCTCTCCATAAAAAAAAGGAAATTGTAATTTCATCGATCAATGAAATTATTTCTTTTACTAATATATAGATATAATTGAATCTTACTTCTCATTCATTTATCGGAATATAATTTAATTTATTAGATTAGACTATATAGAATTCACAGACTAAATCAAAATAATTATAGAAAATAATTTACTAAAATTTATTTCTAAAAGAAAAAAAAAATAAATTTATAATTTAGCTTAAAATTTCATATGAGAATATGCTTTTTAAGATTCTAAGAATCACAAAGACATTCAAAAGTATTTTTCTGGGAAAACACACAGATATGATTCCTTAAAAAATACAAATTAAAAAGACGTGAGTTGTAGATTCGTAATATAATTATCTTTTTTTTTTTTTTTTTTAAGTGTATAATATATACACACACACACTCGAAAATTGGGAGAGCGGAGAGTTGCATTCACAATGATGATGATTTCCCATTTCCACCAAAAGTAAAGCGATCTGACTCAACGATTCGACTCAGATGGGAAGGGCATTTTCGTAATTGAGAAAAAAACATCAGTCAGTCCATTACAGAAGTCAATATAAATACTGACACTCCGCTCTCCAATCAGTGGCTTATCCCGATCGTTAAAACCAGAACTTCAATTTTTACACTCCACGTACTGAGAAGAAATTGCTTCGAAGTGTAGAAATGGAGTGCCGGAGTTACTGCGGAGGAGCGGCAATGGCGATGGCGGTGTTGGTATTGGTAGTGTACTCTTCGGTAATGGTGGCGAGTGTTTCAGCCACTTCCAGAATGACGGAGATCACTGCCGACGACGAGTTACTGAGGCGGAATCTGCTTGCAAATGGCCTTGGAGTTACTCCTCCGATGGGGTGAGTTCTCCGATCTATCAGAGTCTCATCGGTTTTGTTTCCATTTGTGCATATATGTCGATCCTCTGTTATTTCTGCAGATTTGTATGTTAATTTGCAGTTATTTTCTAAACAATTAGATTTTCAGCTTTTCATCTATCTGTTTCTCTCGCGCTCGAACTTTTGATTATAATCCGGTGGAAAATTAAGATGAACAGCTATGATATTTTCTTTATTTTGCTAATTTTGTGTTCTTCGAAAGGCAGAGGAGGAGGTTTGACGTTATTGGCACACACTTCTCTAGTTTTCTTCTTCGCGATCTCTGTATTTGTCCTTTTCATCAATATACTAGCAAGATAAATTTTCTCTCTCTTTCTTTTTGGATAAATTATGTTTTCCATTTTGTGCTATCTGATTGGAGGAAGAATGTTGATGAATCTGTTCTTATTTTTAATTTGAAAATTTCTTGTTGTTTGACAGATGGAATAGCTGGAATCACTTTGCGTGCAATATTAATGAGAAAATGATTAAAGAAACCGGTAAATTTGACCGCTCAATCTCTCTTTACTTCATCACTCAAAAATTAAACTGTGATTAATAACAAGAAGACCTGTTTCGGCAGCTGATGCCTTGATCTCCACTGGGCTCTCGAAGCTTGGATATAAATATGTCAATATAGGTATGGGCCGATCTCTTCTCTCTCTTTCTCACTCTATAATTTCAAGATTCAAAAGGAAAATTATATGATATTTACCTTTTCTTAGATGATTGCTGGGCTGAGATAGCTCGTGATGATAAGGTAATTTTTCGTTTCCGTTCTCTTTTTCTTCTTTCTCGAGATTGCATGAGAACTGTTTGATTTTATGTCTCTGAGAATTCTGACTTATTTTCAATATGATTTCAGGGTAATTTGGTTCCAAAGAAGTCAACGTTTCCATCTGGCATGAAGGCTCTTGCAGACTACGTTCACGCCAAGGGTCTTAAGCTTGGAATCTATTCAGATGCTGGGTAACAATAATTTTCAAATGCACAATTTATATTTTATTTTTTTCAACTTCACGTCATAATTTTTAAAAGTTATAATTTATTCTTTTATGTTTATGTATTAAATTTTCTCAAAAGTATTTTATGTAATAGTAATTATCTATACTTTGTCAAAAAAAAATAGTAATTATCTATAACTTCTATGTATGGTAGGTCCTTTTAAAAAGAGAAAAAAAAAAGAATCATGTGTAGTAGGTATGTTTTTAATTATATGGTGTACCTATTTAATTTATCAAATTAAAATATGGTTTAATTCCAATTCAGATGAATTTTTAACTTTTTGAGACATGTACATGAAGAACGAATTGAAATTTTGAAAATATCAAGAACAAAATTTAAAAATGATACAAATATTAAGTATGAAATCACATTTTTAACCTGTTTAAATCTCTTTGCACGCTCTCTTTTGTAAAGTTGTACTTCTACATTAAATTATCATGCAACTGTGTGCAGGTATTTTACTTGCAGCAAAACCATGCCCGGATCACTTGGCCACGAGGAACAAGATGCCAAAACTTTTGCTTCATGGGTATGAAACAACATATACTTCTCCTTATCAAAATTTTCCAACTAAAAGCAAACTTTTTGTTTTCCCTTTTCCTCCTTTCTCTTTTCCATTTTGTTCATCTTCTAGGCGGATGATTGTTGATGCACATTATTTCACTTGGCAGGGGATTGACTATTTGAAGTATGATAATTGCAACAATGGTAACATTAAACCAACTGTTAGGTAATGTAATTGCTACAACCATAAACCAAACAATTCACTTTATAAGATGAAGCAGCCTGCTGATCTTTTCCTTTGCAGATACCCGGTCATGACCCGAGCGCTGATGAAGGCCGGGCGCCCCATCTTCTTTTCTCTTTGTGAATGGTAACTACTCCTCCTTGTATAGGGGTGGAGCTATAAATTTTTAGAAGAGGGACAAATCTTCACTTTTAAACTTCATATGATCAACTCCCTTTCTTCCTTCTTCATTCCGCCTTGTTCTTAACTCTGGCCGTTCTTTGTTTATTCTCATTTATGACATTCGCTCTCTTGTTTTGTTCTGCAGGGGAGACCTGCACCCTGCTTTGTGGGGTGATAAGCTAGGAAACAGCTGGCGAACTACTAACGACATCAACGATTCGTGGGAGAGGTTTAATTTTAAAGAAAATTTTGATTAGTTGCTTATATTATAACATCTTAGACTGAAGGACTAAATGATTGGATAATGCATTTGCAGTATGATATCTAGAGCGGACCTGAATGAAGTATACGCCGATCTCGCGAGGCCCGGTGGCTGGAATGGTAATGTATTCTCGATAATGAGCCAAATTGTAACTCATAGAACATATTTACCATATTGAAACTTCATTCTTGCAAATTGTTATCAGATCCTGATATGCTTGAGGTGGGAAATGGAGGGATGACTAAGGATGAATACATTGTCCACTTTAGTCTTTGGGCCCTTTCCAAGGTATTGTGCAGCAAAAACTTCTATTCCTTCACTGATCTTTTGGGAGATTGAAAAGCCTGTTTGCCAATGTAGTTGTGGGTTGGTGTTGTAGGCTCCCCTTCTTCTTGGTTGTGATTTGAGGAACCTAACAAAAGAAACAAAGGAGATCATAACTAACACAGAAGTGATTGCAGTTAACCAAGGTATATAGTAGATGATCATTACACTTCTTTTGTCATAGATATCACTGTTTGCTTCTTGATCTCGCCGACTAAACCGATTTTGCTCGACAACCCCTGAAACAGATCCCCTCGGCGTCCAGGCCAAGAAGGTCAGAAGTGAAGGTGACCTAGAGGTAAAATCCATTGCTAGGATATACTATTGCCACTAGAGGCAGAGCAGAGAAGGGTCTCCTCTTAATTCGTCTTAGATTAAAAATTTCTAGCTCCGCCCCGATCGTAAGTGAGCATCATTAGAATAAAAAGTGAGAGCAAAAAAATCATTTTTACTTACTATTGTGCTCCAGGTTTGGGCAGGGCCTCTCTCCAGCTACCGAGTAGCGGTGGTGTTGCTGAACCGAGGCCCGTGGCGCAGTGTGCTGACCGCCCAATGGGACGACATCGGAATCCCTCCAAACAGTATCGTTCAAGCAAGAGATCTTTGGGAGGTAATTTGCTAGCATCCCCAAACAGAAACTTGATACATACATAAATATACTATGTTTCGCAGACATGTATTTACAATCTGCCTGTGAAAATTGCAGCACAATACCTTGAAGAATGTTTTTGTGGGAAATTTGTCAGCCACTGTGGATTCTCATGCCTGCAAAATGTATATTTTGAAGCCAATTTCATAAGGCTAAAGACGTCATTCCACATTTGGACATGGGTGACCCTTCAAGAAATAAGGTTTTTATCACTCCACATTAATTAGTTCCCATGTGTTCTGATTGCAACATTTTTGTTCACTGCTTTCTTTTGATGCTCTGCAACTTTGAGGAAAAAATAAATAAAACTTCACGGTATCTTAAATAAAGCGAGCACGGTAATTGACATACATGTTGTACTAAAAAAAATGTAATTGATTTTGTTAGACCGTTTTATCTTTTCTTCAGCCCGAATAAGTACATATAGTATAATTGCGCCCCAATAATTTTATTTTCCTCATAATGAACATTTGTCGCATGGATAGATTGAAATTTTAACATAAATGATGTGTGATATACTCATATTCTAGAAATGATTTCAGATACTTCTATAGTTTGCAAATGTGATGATCTTTAAATGTAAATGTATTTTTAAAATATGGGAATATAATTTATAAAATAGGCAGTATTACTTATATTAATCATTTTTTTAGAAGAACTTATATTAATCATTTCTTAAAATACTACCTTGGTCCATGTATTTTCAAAATGTTCACTTTGGTCTATGTAGTTTTAAAAAATGGCTATTTTAGTCTCTTAATGTTATTTTTAATCTCATTTTTATCATAGTTTTAACACGATATAACACTCAATATATTTCTTGAAATATAATCATGATTTTATATTGAACTGTTTTTGTTATGGATAGAATTTGTATCAAAATTTTGAAAATAGGGATCAAAATGATCTTTTTATAAGTACAAGTAATAAAATGAACGTTTTAGAAGTATATTGACTAAAATGAACTAAATAAATATTTTGAAAATACAATAACTAAAATGAAACAGAAATAGAATTGAAAGGATAAATACCAAAAATAAAATTTTTTCGATTCCAAATCCATGACTTTTTGGTCAGAGATAGATATCTTTAACTATTTGAGCTATGCTGGATTTGGTAAAGAGTTGTTGAATTTATGAAGTGTTTGTGTTAGTTCTTGAATGTTAATTTTTTTCTCTTGTTTGGTATTTAAACTTTCCAGATATCTATATTAATCTAAAATTATTTTTAAAAATAATTATCTTGTTTTAGTACCATAAGTACAATAAATGGGAGTGGAAGAATGGACGGAGAATCCAACCTACCACTTTTAGGAAGCAACTTAGAGCTAAGAGTACATTAAAAAAGAAGTGAAAAAGAGCCTCTTGAAAGTTTATTATTTTTGAGGAAAAATAAATATGTTGGTCATTGTATTTATTTGGTTTTAAGTTAACATTTGGATAATTATATTTTTCATCATGTCAGAGCCATGTAAATTGACTCGGGTGAGTGAGTACGTGTACAATGCAATGACAAAAATGATTATTTTTAAAAATTCAGAAACTTAAAAAAAAAAAAAAATTGAAAGCACGTAACCCAAATGAAATGATTTTTTTTTTCGTTATTACAAAAGCGACCTCTAAAAGTAAAAACTGTAAATATTAATTCCCATCATTCTTCTAACAATTCTTAAAATCGCTGTTAAAAAGAAAGCAAATATGAACAGAAAATCGCTCAACGAATCGCAACAACCCGATATCAATTCAACAGAAAAAATCGTCGAAGCTTCATCCGACAATCTCCAGAAAGAAACTAAAACGATCATTTCTTTCGCTCATTCGAATTCAAAGCAAACAGAATCAGACTCAAACCTCAACGACTCTATTTATACCAGAATCAGAATCGAAATCGGAGAAGCTCCAGCACTGGCGAAAAATGGAGAAACTCACCGCCGCTCTGATTCTGATATCGTGCCTTCTGATCGCGTCCTCCGCCTCCGCCTCCGCCGCCGCCGCCGCCGCCGCCGCTTCTCGGAAACTTGATCCTGAAACCAGACGGAATCTCCTCTCCAATGGCCTCGGCATGACTCCTCCCATGGGGTCCGCTTCCATTAAATATCAAATCAATCAATTCTCCTTCTCTCTTTCGCTTTTCCAATTTCTAAATTGATTGTTTGTTTGTTTGCTTCTACTTCTCTTTTATAGATGGAACAGTTGGAACCACTTCTGGTGCGGCATCAATGAGACCATCGTCAAACAAAACGGTGCCGTTTTGCCTCCTTTACCACTCCAAAAATTAATTAATTATTTCTTTTTTCCTTTTTTTGTTTTTCATTGGCTGAATGAAATTAATAAAATAACAGCTGATCTTCTCGTCTCCTCCGGCCTTGCCAAGCTCGGATACGTCTACGTCAACATAGGTAAAATAATAATAATAATAATAATTTGATTAATTTTTTCCTTACCCAACTGAAAACGCTGTCGTTTTAGATGATTGCTGGGCTGAGTTGACTCGGGACGTCGATGTAATTTACTCTCCTCCAAACCCACATACTTCCATCCATTTTTTTTCAGTTCAAGAGTATTTTGTAATTTAACTTTTTATAAAGGCCAAATAAAATTATTTATATTTATATTTTTTAGGGATATTTGGTACCGAAAAAGCGACATTTCCATCTGGCATTAAAGCCCTGGCAGATTACGTTCACAGCAAGGGCTTAAAGCTGGGGATTTACTCGGATTCCGGGTAATAATTCCACTCGCTTTTAACTCACTGTGTCACTCGCCGAGTTACTCACTTAACCGACGGTGAATTTTCCATCCAGGACATTTACATGCAGTAAAACCATGCCCGGTTCCCTTTACCACGAGGAACAAGACGCCAAAACCTTCTCCGAATGGGTAAAATTTCAATTCCGTATCCACGTCATCATGCACGTTCATCCACGTGCGTGGCTCATGTATGTGTGAACTAATCGCAGGGAATTGACTATTTGAAGTACGATAACTGTAACAATGACAACATAAAGCCAACGGAAAGGTGGGTATCATCGTCTTTTTCTTTTCTTATTTGTTAAGCGGCGCCTTATTAATTAATTTTATTCTCTCTTTAAAGATATCCCATAATGACTAGAGCTCTGATGAAGGCAGGACGCCCCATTTTCCTATCACTATGTGAATGGTAATATTCCCTAATTAATTAATCCTAAAATTACTTTATAATATAGTTTCAAACTTTGTAGTATAAAAAATTTATTATTAATTTTATAAAGCGATGCTGTGCCAAAAATAGGGGTGACATGCATCCTGCTTTGTGGGGTGGTGACATGGGAAACAGCTGGAGAACTACCAGTGATATCCAAGATAATTGGGACAGGTCGGATTATACATATATTATAAAATATATAACCATATTATTCTTTATTTTTTGAATTTCAAAATATTGTATTTTTTACAGTATGATGAGTAGAGCTGATTTGAACGATGCATTTGCTGAGCATGCAAGACCTGGTGGTTGGAATGGTCGGTATTTCATGTAAAAAACCAAATTTCAAAATTTTTTTATATTAGAAAATAAATAAATAATTTTTTTTCCTTTGAATTTGTTATTTTTAGATCCTGATATGCTTGAAGTTGGAAATGGAGGGATGACAACAGAAGAGTACAGGGTCCACTTCAGCATATGGGCCATTTCCAAGGTCAGATCCTCCGGCCCAATTAAAAAAATAATAATTACCAAAATTTATATTTATTAATTTATTAATGTAATTTGATGACAGGCTCCACTTCTGTTGGGCAATGATCTGAGGGACATTTCTGATGACACAATGGAAATAATTGGAAATTCTGAGGTCATTGCTGTAAATCAAGGTAAATCCATTTGAATTAATAGTATAACAAAAACCTTTGTTTCAATTTATCCAGAATTAGTATTCGGCCCCTTGAATTATTATTTTTACATTTTTGGACTAAAAGTGGGGTGTTTTTGCAAACTACAGATCCTATTGGAGTCCAAGCCAAGAAGGTCAGGAGCGAAGGAGATGTGGAGGTAATAAAATTGAAAATGAAAAAAAAAAACACAAAGTTGAATTTAATAAATAAATTAAAAGATAATAAATGGAAATTAAAACTAATTTTTTAAATGGTTTTTTTTTAATTTATCAGGTTTGGGCCGGGCCTTTATCTGGGTACCGAGTGGCAGTTCTATTGGTGAACCGAGGTGGAGGGCGGATTGCGGGAACGGCCCATTGGGACGACATCGGTGTCCCCACGGACACTGTCGTTCAAGCAAGAGATCTGTGGGAGGTAATATTTTGAGTAAAGCCCATTGGGCTTTGTGGTCTGGGCTTTCATATAATTCTTTTTCTTTTTCTTTTTAATTAACTATATCATACTTTTATTAAGTAGCGATTTAGATGGTTTTAGATTAAAAAATTATATAATTAAAAAAATTCCCTTCTTAATTTGTCCTCTTGCTTAAAAATTGAAATTAAATATATATAAGGGTTTTTGGAAAAGTTGTTTTTACAAGTAGCTTTATAAAAACTATTTAATTCAAAATTTTTTTAAAAACAAATGACTACCAAATTGATGGTTCATCAAATGAGTTTAATAAATAATAATAATAATAATATTTTTTTTTTTGGGTGGTGGTTTATGTGCAGCACAAGACATTGGAGAAGCAGTTCGTGGGCAATATATCGCACACTTTGGAAGCTCACTCCTGCAAAATGTACATATTGACCCCAATTTTTTGAGAAGGATTTTAAGATCCAAATTTTAGAATTAGGCATTCAGGATTAGATCGTCAATTTTTATTTTTTTTCCTATTGGTGTGTAATTCAGTTCGAATATTTTATTTTATGTCAATAATCGTTAATAAAAATAAAGTTATTTTCTTACATCTTTACTTCTTTTTATCTTATTTAGGAGTGCTTGTGGGTATTCTATTGAGTTTATTAAATGATAATAGATGACCTTTTCACTTATTTATTTATGGAAATTTTTTTCACATCATCATTCTAAAAATTCAATTAAAAAATGAATTAGAAAAAAGATAGAACTATAAATGCATTTTTTCAAAAAAAAAAAAAGTCAAATCATTATTATTAGTTTTTGAAACTAAGAAAAATACATTTTTTAAACTTACCCATCTATTATATAAAAAATTAAAAACTTAACATTTATTAGATATTTGTGTGATACAAAATTAAAAGTAAGGATTAAATTTGAAATTCACCCCACAATTTATCTAAAAATCCATATAATTTTTTTTTTTTTTTTGCCAAATGTTTTATCCATAGTCGTCCAAAAATATAATTTTACGTATGCGGTTATTGTTATTAATTTTGTTAGAGCTAATGAAGATTGGAGAGGTTAATTTTATCAGAACTTAATACCGCAAAGGTGAGAGTTTGAACCGCTAAGTTGAGATGTTAGCAAAAATCCATATAGATATTTGACTGGTTGCATAAATTTATTATTAAAAAGAAAAGAAAAAATAATTCGGTGGAATAATTGGGATGCTGCCAAGTTTGCTCATCCTAATTATGGTGGAACCACCATTGAAGGACATGCATGGCCATACCGCACTTCCTCCATAATCGCTTGTAGTGCAGTGGAGAAGCACTACCAAATCCTGTCTCTCAATTCGCGCTCTCAGTGCCTGAGCTAACGAATCAATGCTCATCTAAATCCAACTCTGTAAATGCTACGTTCACCATTAATGCTCAATCAGAGGCTACAGCCATGGCTTTTTCCCCTCTCCCGCTTTCATCTCCACCAGCTTCGATCATGGTTTTCTACTCCCTCGTTTTCTTGATTTTGTTGTTGTGTAGCACCGGCGATGGCGTTGCGGTGGCCGGAGCGGCTCGATCGAGGCGTCTTCAGTTTTTCACTGACTCCACCAGGAGAGTTCTCCTCAATAATGGTCTCGCTTTAACTCCTCCGATGGGGTAAGCATTACGCTCCGATTAAGATTTTAGTCTCCATCTCTATCGGTCCGATCAGATTGCGAGATATGAGTTACTTTGTTCGTTTAATTATCGATCTTCTCGGTTTCATTCTTGTTCAACAGTGTTGGATTAACAATCCGATGGAAATGGATTTTGCTGATTTGCTATGCGTTGCTTCTGTTTTTTTTGTGATGAGCAGATGGAACAGCTGGAACCATTTTCAGTGTAATATAAACGAGAAATTAATCAAGGAAACAGGTGATATTTTGATGATTTGAAGGTGTCTTTCTGTTTAGTCTTCTTTTAGTTTGGATATGTGTACAATGACTGAGATTTTCAAATCCTATTTGTTCTGCTAAGCGGATGCAATGGTATCCAGTGGCCTTGCTGCATTAGGATATGAATATATCAATTTAGGTGATTACTGTATTTCTTTCTCTTTACATTCCTTTGATTTTTGAACTTTTTGCTTTCCGTTTCTGACATTAATTGGTAATTTTTCCCATTTGAATTAGATGATTGTTGGGCTGAACTTAATAGAGATGCCAAGGTAGATTTCATTGTCCTATTTCTTGTCTCGACTTTATATGAAAATCTCTATATCTGCGTTAGATTATGTGAAGATGATAAATATGTACATGTATGGTAATGAAGTTTGGCGCTGAAGATTCTATTGATATTTTAGGGTAATTTGGTCGCTAAAGCTTCAACATTCCCTTCTGGTATCAAAGCCCTAGCAGATTATGTTCATAGCAAAGGGCTCAAGCTCGGAATTTATTCTGATGCAGGGTAAGTATATACACTCATCACAACAGATAAACGACTTCTTCCTGCATTTTCATTGTCGTGGTTCATCTAAATGCTGCAGATGGTTTATTTGCTGAAACATTTTTCGTCCTACTTTTGGCTTACATAAACTCCACTATCAGCCCTGTTTTAGTGTAGTGTGTGCTTAGTTTGTTTAGTTAGATCTTCTTTACCCATGTTAATATAATTTGTTCAGGATCCAGACTTGCAGTAAGAAGATGCCGGGTTCCCTAGGTCACGAAGAACAAGATGCAAAAACCTTTGCCTCATGGGTTTTTTTTGCTGCTCTACACTCTTAACTTCTTTAATTTTTGTTTATATCACTATAAATAGTCAGATAGAATTACCATATTTTTCTTTCAGAAACTGATATGCATACTATTGTTTAGGGGATTGATTATTTGAAATATGACAACTGTGAAAATACCGGTACAAGCCCAAAGGAAAGGTGGGATCAGCTCTCTACTATGTTTAGTTATCACTTTTTCGAAATAACTGCAACGATCCTGGGCACAGGTACCCAAAGATGACAAAAGCTTTACAACAATCTGGGAGACCCATACTTTTTTCTTTATGTGAATGGTTAGCAAATCTGTTTATACCAACAAACATGCTCTTGTTGTTCTAATGCTTCTCCATTCAAAAGCACAGACAGAGTTACTTTCTTAAGTTTTTCATTATTTAGGGGACAAGAAGATCCAGCAACTTGGGCAGTAAATGTAGGAAATAGTTGGAGAACAACATCAGATATTCAAGATAACTGGACTAGGTAGTAAGCATGAAGTCTTACCGGCATTCTTGTTTTACCATCATTACATGCAACATTTTCAAGAACTTTGTCTACGTTATTTTATCAGTTCTTTTTCCCCGTCTCTGCGATGCCTGTATTGAAGTATATTATTTCAAGTCCAAAATACTTTCTTTACCAAGAAACTGATGCTGCTACTTACGATACAGCATGACATCTATTGCTGATCAGAATGATAAATGGTCATCTTATGCTAGACCTGGAGGATGGAATGGTAAGTTACAGAAATTGTAGTTCAATATGAAAAACACACCCTTGTATTCTAGAGAATATTTGCTGGTTAGCTTGCTAGTTGGCCCCCTTTATATCTCTCAGTACTAAAGATTGATGATGATTGAAATCCATCCAATGCTGATTCTGAATAGAAAGGGCTAGGCAATCTCTATAACTGCCATTAGCCACCAACTGCTTAAACTGAACCTTGTAGGATCTTGTTTGGGGAAAACTATTTGAAAGAAAAGTAAAAAGTAACTTCTTTTAATGAGTATTACCAAATAACTTTTTATATGTATTCAAAAAATTTTCCCTTTGTCTAATCTCTAATGATTACATGGAAACTATAAGGCAATCTCAGAAATTCAAAAGCAAACAATCTAAGTTTAAAATTGCCTCTGTTCAGATCCTGACATGCTCGAAGTGGGGAATGGAGGGATGACGACAGTAGAATACCGTTCTCATTTTAGCATTTGGGCACTGGCAAAAGTAAGTTCTAGTTTACATAGGTCATTTCTTATATCATATTAAGACGTATTTGAAATTCCAGTTCATTAAATAACTTTACCATTTCAGAAAACCATGTTAAGATAGGATTGAATATCATCTGTTGCTTGATTTTTGGGTTGATTACATCATTTCGTGTGTTGCATGAAGTTTCTTATCAATTTGTTATTCTTTCCTTTCTGTTCTTCGTATGTGAAGGCCCCTTTGCTGATTGGATGTGACATCAGGTCAATGGACAACATCGCCTTCAAATTGTTGAGTAATAAGGAGGTTATTGCAGTTAATCAGGGTAAGTAAAAAACCAAACTGTTTCAGATAATTCATAGAGAACTAAGAAACAGCTAATCAAACATTGTAATAATTTCTCTCAATAAGAAATAGAAAGATTAATCATTCCCATCTAAAAGTTTCTGAACCAAGCAGATAAGCTTGGAGTTCAAGGGAAGAAGGTCAAGAATTTTGGAGATCTTGAGGTAACTTTTCATCATAAAGAAACTAAAATTAGAAGGAAATTCTGCTTTACTCTCAAAATTTCTTCATAAAAATAATGCAGGTTTGGGCAGGCCCGCTGAGTGGTAAAAGAGTCGCTGTTGTTCTATGGAACAGAGGTTTTTGGAGAGCCAATATCACTGCAAATTGGTCAGATATAGGTTTGAGTCCATCAACTACAGTTACTGCTCGAGACTTATGGGAGGTAAGACTTAGATAAAAGCTTAGATAAAAACACTTTTCGAAAATTTTCGTGGCGATTCATTACAATACTTCTCTTAAAAGTTGTGCTTTTCAAATGCGGATACAATTAGTACCTTTTTATAAAGTATCTGTTCTCAAAAGTTATTCCAAACTCACTCGAGAAAAATGTGCATTTCAATATATATAGAGTTAAATAGTTCAGCCTAGTTGGCAAGGGTTTGAGGGTCTCTTGGTCATACTGGTTTAAAAGTCTCAAGTTCGAACTTTCCGGTGAGCTTAATACCAAAACCTTTGATATCTCTCGAGTCCGAGCCTTAGGGCCGGCGTGGATGTCCCGGGGAGCAAAGTTGTAACTTTCGGTAATAATATATATATATAGAGTTAAACTTTGACCAAAAATTTTCTGATTGATTATTCATTCCTACTACAGCACTCAACTCATGTGGTTCAACATCAACTTACTGCCGAAGTAGACTCTCATGACTGTAAGATGTATGTTCTCACTCCCCACTAAGCCAAAAGGGAAAATTTCAGATTAATGTTATTGTGAATGACAATAGTCTTCACTTCAGTTTCATGTCCAACTTCTCTATGCTCTGTTTTCTGGGATTTTACTTGCGTTTTTGTACGAGTACTGGCCTTTAGTTTGAGATGATTTAGTTTATGTACTCTTAAATTGGTAACAATTTAGGTCTTGAACTTAGTACGTAACAATTTAGTTCTTTATTTACAATATGTAATAATTTAGTCCCTACCATCGAAAGTTTCATCAACATGGAATGTTGATTTTTATTGTGTAATAATTGAGTCTTTGTAATTTATAAACACATTTGGTCATTTATCAATTTATTTTTCTACATGTAAACCTCATTAAATTTTGATAGCATTTTTTAAGATGGGAACTAAATCGTTACAAACTTTAAACTACATGAACTAGTTACATATTAAACTTTGAGGGTTAAATTGTTACAAATTAAAAAGTATAGAAACTAAATCGTTATTTCATTAAAGGTACAGAGACCACAAAGTATTTTTTAATTGTTATTCCTTTTATTTAAAAATTTATAGCCACCCGCATTTACGCCAACGTTGTATTTTACTAAATTTCCTCTGGCTAATATTTAAGGGCTCGGTTTTTTCAATTTTATTAAAAAACTCAAGTATTTGACAATTATTTATGTGTTTTATTTCTCATTTTTTAGAAACATTTTCAAAATTGTATATAAATTTTGAAAACAATAAAAACAAATTTCTTGATTTTTGTTTCCATTCTCCATTTGTTCCCAAACATAAATAAATATAATGTTCATCCATGTTGGAGTCCTATAATTTTATTTTTCATTTATTAAAAATGAGAAAATATAAGAAGAAACGTTACTATACTCATTAACTTCTCTATTTATTGTCTTCCATAGAAATGCTCATAGAAAAAGTTCAATTTAAAGTTCAATTTAACAACAATTAGAAGTTTAAGGTAGATAATATCCAACCTACTTTACTAATTCTCAATTGATCCGTCCAAATAAAAAACTCACTCGGTAAGATTATCATTGAAATATTTTTATATCTCAATTTTTTTTAATTATCATTTTCAAATTTTGATCCACTGACAATTAATAAAATTGTTTGAGTATAGAATGCCCACCAAAACGATTGAATGAATCTCCTCGTGAATATAGGAGTGGGAATTTGAAACATCCACCTCATGGTTGGATACATGTGTCCTAACCAATTGAACTATGCTCTGGTTGGCTTCTATACTATATTGATATTTTTACATGTATCACGAAATAATCAATAAAATATAAACAAAAAAATCAACAAAATTTTACGTGATCATAATTCATAATATTAATTATTCATAAGTAGAAAATTTTAATTATTTAAAAAAATAAAACGATTTTTTTAATAATTTTTTTTTAGAAATATCTACTTTGGATATAACCGTAATTTCCAATTTGGTCTGAGAACGAGGGAATCAATCATAGTAATCACAAGAATTAGCGCGAGAGTTTCTGAAGAACAAGGAGAAAGCAGGCGAAGGAAAGAAATTTGAAAATGTCCGTGTTCAAGGGCGTGGGATTAGGGTTGGCTTTTGCCAATGCTAATTCCAGTTGCAATTTTCCATCTAATCCAAGAATATTCCTCGAATCTGTCACTTCGAACTGTGAATTTCCACCAATTTCACTTCGTCCTCGTGCGTTGCTTTCTGAAAATGGCAACGATTCTAAATTCGATACCAGGAGTAGTTCTACACCGACTGCAGCTGACGCTAAAGGTTCCGGAACCACTGCTAGAGGTCGTCGATTGCTTAAGCTTCGTGAAGAGAAGCGCAAACGGGAGCACGATCGTCTCCACAATTACCCTGCCTGGGCCAAGTCTCTCTCTGTCTATCTATCCATTATCCTTATCCGTATGATTTTGTATTGCGTTATTTTCATTGTGTTTGATTGCTAATGGAAACGGCGGGAAAAACAACAGAGTGTTGGAAGATGCATGTAAAAACGATGCGGAACTACGCGCTGTTCTTGGCGACAGTCTTGGCAATCCAGAGCTCATGAGGAAAAAGGTATGACGGTTTGGCTATTATTTATCTTCTTCGTTTCTTTTTTCTTTTAGGATATCGGTTTGTTGTACTTGATATTCGGTTGTTGTACTTGCCGATTCGTTATGGCATTTCCTGTTTGCAGCTTTCGTTGTTGTGCCATTTTTTTTTGCAATTATTCTTCAGATTCCTTCAAACCAGTGAAGAAATCTTAGCAAAATTCTTGAAACTAATTTGAAGCATATTCGCGATTTAGGATTTAACGTTTCCTTGATGTATTCTTCATTCATTGATATCATTCTGAGAAGATAAGATTCGCGTTATTTTCTTATCGCAATTACGAGCATCGAATAGGATTGGTGCATACTGTCGTGCATGGATGCGTGTGATATCATGGATGCGTGTGATATCATGGAAAATTAGCAGTAACAATATTCGCTCAACGAGGAGCTATTTGTGGATGATCAACAGGATTATTTTATTAGTTGTCGTTTCTTAAAAGTTGCTCATTTGGCATCTATTCTAGCATTGGCTCTTTATACTATATTTTCTCAAGACCAACTTTATTAGCACTTAACAGAGAACATTTTGGTGGGGAAGTTTCTAATATGCTATATAATTGGTATAGAAATATCTTGTACATAAACTTATTTCGTATCTATTCTCAATCCCGAGCCATTAGCTTCTTATTGGAGTATTAAAACCAATCTGAATCTCATGTCATGAACATTTGTCTATGTTTGCATTCAAATAAAATTGATGAACAGAATGAGCTTCTTTCTGTGCAGTACCAACCAGAAGAGACAGAGCTTCTAAACTTTTTCATGCAATTCCTGTTAAATTACAGCATTTTCTTGTCTTTGTGCATAGTTACATCTTCCAATGTGATTGTGACAGGTCGAAGAGAGAGTTCGGAGGAAGGGTAGAGATTTCCAAAAGTCAAAAACGGGTTCCATCCTTGCCTTCAAAGTCAGCTTTAGAGAGTAATCTATTCGATAAATAGACCCTTGTTTACTGTCCTTTTTTGTCCCCATTTATGTAACCTCATTTTCAGTGCCAAAACCAAAGCCATATTCTCCATGATAAAAAATTTCACCCCATTGCCAGTTCTACTTTTCTTACAATCGACCATTACTCGTACTATATGAAGTCTTTCTTCTCAATTGCTCGTGTTTCAAATCTATTTTGAAGACAATGTTCAAGACCTGAAAGATGTTAGTTCAAGGCTTCTAGCTCAGCAAGTTCTCTTTTCAAGCAAGCTGTATCTGAGCAAATGAGTTTTTATCATATGGCTTCCATTCACATACGATCTAGTTTCTTACTTCTAGTTTTTCTGATTTGCAAGTAATTAATTTTTCTAACTTGTTCTTTTACTTCTTTTTATACGTTAAACAATGATTTGATACACTTACTGCTTTACGGTAGTATCATGGTTAGAGATGCTTTTCTTGTCTTCTGAGCTAATTTGAGGATGGGAATGTTCATTCTGGATTTTTTTTTTATTTGCTCATTAGTGTACAAGCCCAACTATCTGAAATATATTGATGGGAAGGTTGGTTATGATTGAAATGTTTTTGTTTTTTTTTCTTTTTCCAAATGTCCTAAAATGAACCTTGCTTTCTCAACGTTGTAGTTTGACCATTGTTTTTATTCCGACTCTTTTTTTAGATTTTTTTTAGATTTATTTTGGTGGGTGGTACTGCTCTTTTCTTTCCTGCATTTACATTTATCTACACCTGTTTGCTGTGTCTTGGGATTCTTCCAATCAGCCTTAAGCTGTAAATGAAGTCAAAATTATTCATTTTTTTGTTGACGCTAGAATGCAGTTTATTTGCTTGCATATTTGTGCAGTTCGAATTATTTTGACTTCTCATTAAACACATTTTAATGGCATGGAGTAATTATGATGAGTGCATCAAACTTTAAATAACTTTGAACTTTGGAGTTTCTAAATGATAAATATCACGTCCACAAAATCTTCTGTTTTGCTGCCAACGACTTTCTTTTAAATTACTATTGGCATTGATAACTTTTGACACGTTTGAACTTGTACTGTTTTAAGTTGCTGACCATCTTTTTTCCCTTTGTTTTGTCTCACAGCTTCAATCCTCTTGACTCCTACATATGGTTTGAGCTGATTGGATCACCATCAGATCGAGATGTTGATCTTATTGGCAGTGTAAGCAAATTCTTATCTTCGTAAGATGACTTTCTTTGTCAGATTATTCTTTTCCTTGAACTACTTAAACTTTTATAATAACAATCTTCCCTTTTCCCTCCATTCTCTGTGCATCCCTGAATGGCTCTTAACTTTCCTTGTAGTCTAACTTACAAGTAACCATGCAGGTAATCCAGTCATGGTATGTCATGGGTCGATTGGGGGCCTTTAACTCTTCTAATTTGCAGGTTTGTTCTTTTATCTTTGGTCCTAATTGATTTATACTTGACTTCATTAAAGCGCCTTACCCTAATGATTTGGAGTCAATTAGATGTCCTATGTTAAAGTATGAACTACATTCTTTAGTTAATTTCTTTACGTACTACTTGTATACTGGATGGAGGGAAACCTTTGTTCTGTGTTTTCAACACATCCGAATTCCCACTTATACTCTTTTGTCATGTGGAGATAACATTTTTGTGATGTATTTACTCCATAATACTTATTTCCTTGTCAGTTATGTATGGTTGAAAGTTGGCACTCTAGTTTTGGTGTTCTTTGGATCCCATCCCTACGCCCCTTGAGAATTGGGAATGGGAACTTTGAGCTGGGTATATTGTTAAATGTAAAAACAACGTTCAATTAAATTGCATATGAATTAAGTTTATTGAAAGGCCTTTATATAATGTACAAAATCTGTTATCTCTAACTTTATCTTTTTGCTGATTCCTTTTCAAAAGAAAGGAATGGCCAAACAACCCACTTAGCTGGTCAATCCAAATCATATTTTTCTTAATGACTCAATGGGACCGAATCTATGACTACTGAGTAAATTGCAAATAGTTGGAACAAAAGATTTCATTCAATTATTACTCAAACTCGTATTGCAAAATATAATTGCAGCTGGCAAATTCATCAATGGAGCACAATCCTCTCTATGATGCAGAAAAGGGGTCTAAAGTGATGCAGTCTTCATTTCATGATATCAGTGATGTTGAGTTTCAGGATAACTGGGGCCGAGTTTGGTAACAAACTAACCTTCCATGTTCAATTCAATACTAATTGATATGCTTTCTATAAGAAGAAACACGTTGTGATAATATATTGCAGGGTTGACCTCGGGACGTCGGATTATTTCGCCATTGATGTACTATTGAACTGCTTGACTGTCCTAAGCTCAGAGTAAGTTTCATTTGTCAACTTGTCTTTTACTCATTCTGATAGATGCAGGTCGAATCAAATGCTTTGTAAAATACGATTAGTTTAAATCCTGTTTTGTTATTGTATTTTTTACTTGGGTTCATTTTAATCCATATACTTGTACTTTCGAAACGTCTGTCTTTTAATATAAATTTATGACTACATTTTAAAAAACTTGGTGAAGAGTAATTTTAAAAAAAGAAATGAGATAAAAATGAAAATTTTGAGACAAAAGTGGTCAGTTTTTAAGGGTACATGAATTGAAATGGACGTTTCGAAAGTATAAAGAGTAAAATAAACAAAGGTTGAAAGTACCGGAACCAAAATAGTATTTAAACCAATAGAACTTGAGTGACTTTTCGTTTCTGTTCTAATTGAGGGACTTGTTTATTTTTGTGCTTGAGGCGCAGATATTTAGGAATCCAACAAGTGGTGTTTGGGGGACGACGAATTGGCGATTGGGAAGAAGGGATGAGAAGCCCCGAGTATGGGTACAAGTATTTCAAAATCTAAATTTAGAATCTGGATTTTGTTTCTGTTTATTACATTCTGCATGTATATAATGCCCCCTTCGATATCACAAGTCTTCCATTTTTCTCTACTGGGAAGTTTTTAGCCTTAAATCAAACTAGACTCGGAATCTTGCATTCAGAAAATTGAAAAAAAAAAAAAGTAGAAGTTTTTGGAGTCTTTGTTCAACTAGAAATGGCCATCAAATCAAAGCATTTCCATGTTGGTGTCAATCAGGATTCTCATGGTCCTCGTGAAAATCTAATAGGTGGGACTGGGTGGAGTTTTGTGTGCATTTTTTTTAAATTTATATTTTAATGGATATATAGGGTTGCCGATAAAATATTTAGAATAGTATTATTATATCTATTTTTATAGTTAAATCAAAATTTTATTTTTATTTCCATTTTTTATGTTTTATTATTATTATTTTTAAAGAAACAATTCCATTGATGATATGAAATTATAAAAGACCCAAAAAGGATTAGGGAGTGTAACTATAATGATGAAAGAGATGCAAAGTGTTACACTAAGTAATAACCATAGAAGCCAAAACAAATATAGTTTAGTGATAATTGACATATATCTCCAATTACGAAGTCGTAAGTTCGATCTCCCACTCTCACATATACTAAAAAAAGTAATAACCATGGAAACTATCGATTCAAAGATCATCTCAAAAGGAAGGTCTCTATCATTGAAAGTGTATCCAATATTCCATCCAATCTCGTAAGTTAAGAAAAGGAAATTTGTTACAACCTGAGTTTCACAAACATGTCGAAATATTTGAAATTCTTTTTAGTTATTCCAGTTTTACCAAATATATCAATCAAAATATTTGCAAGAAAATGTATGGAAAAAAAAGGTAAATTTCATGATATTAGCTAGGTTGCTCTAAAAGAAACACGTCTTCTTTCATGGTTTCATTCTCTAGTACATTACTTTGATATGAATTTGAAGCCCCTTGCCAATACTAATGTACTAGATGTACGTGTTCCCAATCCCAGCTTGTACTTCGATTTGATATTACATCAGATCGCAATAAAGGAACAAAAATCAAGGCCAAAAACCAGAAACCAACCTTTAAATTTAATGAATTGGTAACATACATGAGACGTGTCTGCCGCTATTACAAGAGATTAGTGGATATATGTAAGAAAGAGATGTTCATGGGGGGAGAATATAATATATAAACAACACCAAAGACACAACGAATATTCAATTACAAGATTAGATGGTGATGGCGATAGTAGTAGAGGAGAGGTTGTTAGCACAAAGAAAGAAAGAAAGAAATGGGAAGTTTTAGGGTAAGGTAACTCAATCACCTCCTTCACTACTTGGGGTAATTGGTTGGCCAAAACAAACTCCTACGAACTACTACCATTAGTAGAGCCTTTCCTGATTGGGTATGTGCAGAGAATTAGGCAGTCGTCAGTCGCGCTGTACTTTCTACTTTACTTAAAACTCACTCACTACTATCAACCAAAATGAAGATGAAGATGAAAAATAGGATGATGTCGAAAATCGCTTACTCAGGGAAGAACCAGAACCAGAACCAACCCCATCTCCATCTTCAAACCAACCCAGATGGAAAAGGATATTTTAGTATTTTCATCTCTAAACTCCTCTCTCCTTTTTCTTTTCTTTTTTTTTTTTGTCATTGGAATTCCTGCAACGCGAGATTCAACTCCTGCGCGGACTTCGCTACCGATCCCCTTTTTCTGTTTACCAAAAACGAGTTGCAAAAATTCCTTAATCGTCAAGGTTAGATCAGCAAAAAGAATATAATATGCATACGTAGCATGACAATAGAATAGCAAAACTAGTTACCACTATCAAAGGCTTTTGAAATGTGAAGTATGAAAAAAAAAGGAATAAACATAGCTTTGATATCCCACTATTGATTAAATTTAGAAATAAATGTATATTACTACAATGGATTCTGTCACAGGGACTTGAACCCGGGTCTCTCGGGTGAAAAATAAATGTATATTACTCTATCAAAAGTATTGATTTCGTTACATATTAAGTATCTTTATCTTCAAACACTTATGCATTTCAAGGAAAAAAAAAAAGTTTTAGAAACCCATATTTCTAAGATGTAAAAAAGAACTTGTAAAATAAAACATAAATTAGAACTTTTTTTAAGAAAGTTAAAACATATCCCTCCCACGTAAAACAAATTATAGTAACAATAAACAGAGCACCCATCTGAGCCCAACTCGAGTGGATACGACACCTATTACCTAATGTCGATCTGCAATGCAATTGTTGAACCCAAAAAAATAAATAAATAAATAAAATTCAAACAATAAAGAGAGCATCATGTAATTATATAAATGTGGTACAATTAAAATAAGTAATATCATAAATAAATTTCAGTTAAAAATATATATATAGAGATAGTCAATACAATACTAAATTATAAGGGCAGAAGATGGTACCTCATAAGGGCGGGGAGGCAGCGCTTGACTTTTTCAAGCTCGATGAAGCAGAGATTGCATCGCTCCAACCTGAAAACAAAGTCCATTTTAATTTTTACACAGCCATTCCATTTCAATACCATAAAATAAAAGTAAAACACATGGCTACTTAAATCTAAATAGTTTTATTGTATGGATGATAAAAGAACAGTTAACGGTTTACACACACCTCTGCTCTGCCTCAATATTTACACCAACGGATGATGTTGCTGATATTGTTGAATAGATCACCGAACCGAACGTCCTCACCAGCTTCACAACCATCTCCATGGAGATGTCTATAAACCTATTGTTCCATAACATTATACTAACTAATTAAACCTTTTTCCATCAGTTTCTACTTAAGTCTATGACCTCAAGAGTGACAAAATAAGTTCCCCAAAAGAGGAAATCATAAATTTTTATTTATCAAAATATGGAAATTTAGAGAGAGAGAGAGAGATGAGACCTGTCCATGTCACTTTCAAGGAGACCAGAAAGAAGTGGCAAGATGACACTGCAGATATCCAGTGTGACAACTTCAATTTTCTCCGTCAAAATACCAATTACATCAGCAGCAACCTGGCATCAACAGTTTGAAAATCAGAAAAATAGAAAGAAACACTTCATTTCACTTCAAACAACGATATAGATATACTAACCGCGTGATCAGCCATTTTCTCCATCGCAGACACTGCCCCTTTAATATCATTCCTCTCCCAATATCTATAGACCGCCTAAAACAGAATAACATTCAAGCTTAACCTTTAACTGGCCGCCAACAAAAATAAATAGCAACTGAGGTGAACATAATGCCAGCCAACGTGCACAGGCACGTTTTTTTTTTTGTTATTTCATGCCCATAAAAATAGTTGTACTTCATTTAGGACCACTGGGACTCGAAATGAATCAAGAAGGGGTAAGCTGCAAGCAGCCTCTTGTATAAGGTTCTAAACCAATCAACCTAATAATAAGAAAGGGCCCTGCCGTTTTGTTTTAGTCAAGCTTAATGTAGCCTGTCGTTAACCTCACATAATTTCAATTTATACGAACTGAGCATAATGCTTTTACACTTTAAAGAAGATTTCACTATCGATAGACATTAGCAGCTCATATATTTCTCTCTATTTATGTTCCATAACAAATTCAAAGGAAAAAATATTATTCTTTATCATATTATGTAATGGTGCTAGCAAAATAATAAATCCCTCTTCTAGGGCTATCTAACTCATCCTTTTTGTCAATCTATGTGCCTCATCTTGTAAATTGGTTTGGAATATTCTAAGGAAAGCAAATTATCTCATTGTCATCGTAAATATCTACCTTACTCTAACCTATCTCGCATGACAACTAAAATCCAAATGAGTTGGGACTTAACATAGTTAGTTCATATAACATAATAAATGAGTAAAATAAGAGTTGGATTGATCTTTTTGCATATGTAGCACCAACGGTTTGGAGTTGAAGGTTCTCATTACTTGCAATTTTGCTGAACGAGATTGCATCGAGCTGACAAATTGATTGTGTTGTTCTAGTACGTTTGCTATGGTATCCTCATCGGTTGCAGGTGCTATCGTCTCTTTCTCTGGAGATCGATGATAACTTCTCTGTCGAAACATTAGATATAGGAAGAGAACAAAAGGGTAAGTACATTGGATATGTGACGGACACAAGACCGCCTGAGAGTTAAGAAGAAACTGTAAAAAGGTGAAAAAGTAAAAATAACAGTCAACTACTGTCCATAAGAGGGACACAAGAAAAGAAGTTCTAATCAAATGAGTTCATACCCCGTTACTTAATGGAAGATTGTCAAGTGCAGCTGCTCTTCCAGGAGAGGCATTATATGTTAGCCGGCTATAATGAGAAGATGATCTTTCTCTTTTGTCCCAATCAACAACATGTGAACGCATCCTCCCTAAATATTAGAAAATAACATGTAAGCCATTATTTGTTAAGGAAAAAAAACATCAACAACTAAATATGACAATACCTCCTTTTGTAGTATCGGTAAAAGATGTGTCTCTGCTTGTTTTATGCCCTCGAGATTCATCTAGAACAAAGACAAGAAATTTAGAAGCATGAGCACACAGAAATAGGAGAACTTCACAAAACATTTTGATAGACCTAACTAACAAACCAAAATAAAAAAGACAAATGACACCATGAACATAGCTAGGAAAACTCCCGATACATATGAAACGTGGTCACATCAAGCTACCATAAAACATAGTAAATCTTTTTCAATTGAATGGGCAGGAACAAATATGAAATCACATAAATGAAATCATTTAGTTATCAGATAATAGACATCCATCAATATACAACACTACGTGAGATAGCAAGTGCCAAAAGTTGAAAAACCATAATCATATAAACTGGTCACCACATTACATACAACCTTCATGCTTGAAGCTTGCTGTTGTCTCTTTTGTTTCCGTTTCATTCTTGCCAGATCCAATATACCTTTCATCTTTCGCAATTTTCTGTGAACCGATACCATGCAAGGAATTCCTATCTACAATGGTGCCCATATCAGCAGCTTTCAAACCTCTGGATTCAGAAAGAACGGAGATAGTTGAATTATCAACTTCATCTCTACCATTTGGAAACCTCCTACTATCAGCAGCTTTTGATAGCAATGGTACTGGAACTGCTCTTCCAGCAACATCGAAATCCTTTCTAGAATCATCCTGCTCATGCCTTGAACTTGACCTGGGTACTGTCACTGCTCTTCCAGCAACATCGAATTCCTTTCTAGAATCATCCTGCTCATGCCTTGAATTTGACCTGGGTACTGGCACTACTCTTCCAGCAACATCGAATTCCTTTCTAGAATCATCCTGCTCATGCCTTGAATTTGACCTGGGTACAATAACGGGTATGACATCTGATTTATTGAAGATTGGGTTGTTGAATGTTGAAGAACCCTTTACAGAGTTTCTCTTCGGTACCACTACACTAGGTGCTGTAACTGAGCTGACCAAGTTAGTCTTTGGGCCAGCATTCAAACTGATCCTTTGGGGAGTACTTGGTCCATTTCCTGCGGCTTCAACCAGAAAAAAAAAATCATGGATATATTTTCAGAGTTTTAGTAAATACAGAGATTGTGCCAATACGAAGAGAAGTTCTAAAAAGTAACAATGAGAAGACAAAAGTGGGATCTTATAAATGAAAACAATGATGAAAGATAAGAAAACTGCTTACACGACAAAGGTTTTGGATCCTTGACAACATCTGAATTTTGAGAAACTGACAACCTTCCTAATGTTTTGGTTTCCTTCAATAACGGATCAGAAGTTTGTGATACTGACAATCCACCAAAACCAGCCTTGGCATTGTTCTCATTTTGCAATGGTAGATTACTGCTGGATTTAGGTTCTGAGCGACCATTTACTCTGTTAACATTATTAACTGCATAGGGCTCTGTGCGCTGTGCAAGTCGAAAAGGAACAAAGGTAAATTGAGTCAAAGAATCCTAAAAAAGTGGAACAAATAAGTGGACATCTCTATATAGAGTATGTATGTAATGCATTGTACCGTGATGTCTACAACCCACACTCCAACACAGCTCTGATTGTATGAACAGCCAAGAAGTTTTCCCTCATGAACATTAAGATCAGACAGCCTAGACCAACCGACTTCCACACCATCATGACATCTTATCGGTTCCCATGAGAAAACCTATGAAGTAGCACCGTTGGATAAATATAAAACAAAAATGGAAAAAGTAGTAGTTCCGTAGAGATGAAACAACAATTTACACATAAAATATTACCTTCAAACTTTCATGCAATCCACAAAGTAGTGTCCTCCCATCAGGATTAAAAGTCAAACAACGGACTCCACTGGTCTGAAACAGAAACAAAAATAAGAGGCCTCCTAAAATAAAATAGCAAACAGCCCTCTATTAAAATATTCACTCCCAAGTATATTTATTCAAAAGCAAGGACCAGAAAAAGGCATTTGGAAAAATACCTCTGGTCCAGCTGAACCAATCAACTCAAAGGTTTCAAGGTCCCAAAATTTAACAGTTTTGTCTGCAGAACCTGAGCAACAAAAAGAAAGTTAAGACAGGTTTTAATAACAAGCAGATCTGCATTTCATATTCTTTTAGTATTGTTACCGAATGTATAGGCAAGAAAGAGAGAGGTCGAGAGACTAAGGTAAAACTTAAAAGTGCATAACAAACCTGTTGCCAGCAAAAACTCATGAGGGTGAAAATCTATACACTGAACCTGACCCTCGTGGCACTTGAAATCATGCAACAACTTTCCAGCAGTTAGATCCCAGAGCTGTTAAAATAAGATATATATTAGAAGGTTCTTTTTAATTGGACATGATAATTCAATGAAAACTACCAATTCTGCATGACAATAAAATATCTCATTTCTAGATGTTGCAAAGTAAATATACGATAAATGATACAAAATACACAATAAGCACAAACAACTAGATCAAATTTTTTTGCAAGTCTAAAATTTATATTCAATCATTAACACTCGCCCACCAACAACTGAGTCAATTTGCTCGAACACACATAGGCCAATGCCTTTCTTTTCATTAAAAATAACCACTGAATAAATCTAAATGAAGAACCGGACCACCCACAACTCAAAGAACTCACAGTAGATGGTTTAAACCAAATAAACCATGAGACTCCCAATCAAGAAAGCGGCTATCAATAGTTTCATTCTTCTTTATCAAACACCAAAAACAAGACCAGTGTTTCTTCACACTAAAACTCCTCCATGGCTAGGTGTGTAAGATTGAGCTAAATCATTCAATATATATACGATTAAAGATGTAACTAGAAGGATAATTATCCAGGCGTATCACCGTCGTGATCTATAACCATTAAAGAATGTGAATATCACCTGCTGGTAAAATAAAGGAGAAAAAAAGGCTAAGGAGGACAAAAGTTAGAAAATGGCAGGTATGTAAAAGAAAAAGAATTAAGAAAAATGTATTTGAGTATTAAAAGAGTTGTCCTCGGTGAGCACACCTAAGCAAATGATGCAACGCTAGTACAAGTCAGCTCACTTGGCACCAGACAATACATCAAAGTTGTTTGTGCCCAATGCTTAGACACTTCTAGGCAGAAAAATCGAGGAAAAACATCCAAAGAAACAAATTATATTAACAATATTATTATAGATGTTATAAAAGAAATGGGGACTAGACATCCAAGTTCCAAACTGTAACAAACTATAAAGAAAGATCTCAGATTGGTCGAAGTGAAGAAAATGTATTAACAGACTACTTTGTTAGTAAGGACCATAAAGAAACCACAAATTGGTTAATAAGATCGTTATTTTTATTTAAAATAAAAATGAGGCTAATATAATTATACTTGCTCCTTGGGTTTTATCAGGAAAAAACTTGTCATTATCTTCTAGAAAAGACCAATATGTTTTATCAGGAAAAAACTTTTCATTCTCCTCTAGAAAAGACCAAAATAATTCATGAACTTGAGTTACAAGGAAAACAATTTCTAACCTTCACCGTGTTGTCTTCTCCACCAGATACAACCCAACGACCATCTGGAGTAAATCTGATTGCATTGACCCCTCGAGTGTGACCTTTGTATGTGTGGATACACCCTTTCTTCCTTATATCCCATATTTTAAGATTTGTATCCAATGATCCAGAGGCAAAGAATTCTCCGAAGGGGTGAAAATCCACAGAAATGCAATTGGATCTATGACCAGTAAGTGTTCGAACAACTAGCGAATATCATCCAGAAAAAGAGAAAATAAAAGTCAACTTCACAGTACAGTTATTCATAGAAACCAGCGATATCAATTTGGACACTATCAAGAAAGTTGAAGGAAATTTGTTGTGGTAATATGAAGCATACTTTTAGCCTCCTCCAAATCCCAAAGCTTGATTGTGCCACTAGCAGCCCCTGCAGCTACCAACACTTCTGATGAGTCAAAGCTTACAGAATCTATTCCGCTTGTATGGCCAGTCAAACTCTGGATGTGAAAGTACAACAAAGATAAAGTGCAAAGAAAAATGATATCTACAAACACAGCTATTTAATCTACTTAGCTTAAGTGAGCCTGCATCAATCTTTTTCTAATTGAAAATAGCCTAATCAATATCTATTAATTCCTATTTATCATATTGCACATGAACAGGTTTCTTTTTTTTTTTCTTGGAGGTGGGGGGAAATTATCATGAATAAATTGATTGCATGTTGTTTTCAGCACAAGAACTATTAGAAGTACGTCCACAAATATAATAAACTATGATGATAGTGATTCAAGAAAAAAAAATATTCAAAAGAAAAGGATGTTAAAAGGAGAGAGAAAAAAATCTTTCCCTCTGGCCTCTTAGATTTTCTACACGAGAATGTTTGTATAACTATACTGTGGACAAGAAGAAATCCAGTACAAAAAAAAGGTATAGGATTGAAAAAGAACTTTCAAATAATTGGTTTGATAATCCTTGTTAAAGATATTTTTGTCAACTTCAGGACAAACTATTAGAATTAGAACACAACTAATGTCCTCGACTGTAACTGGGGTCAAGAAATAGGAGAAGATAATAGAAATGGAAACATACCAGTATGGCATTGGGTTTACCAATAGCCCAGAGATTGACCTTGAAATCTTCACCCCCTGTGACAAGAACACGGGATGACTTCCTTCCAATCTTCAGGCAATTGACCGCGGAAGAATGTGCCACAAACTCTTCTGTATTAATAATTGTTAAGGCAAACAGGTAGGAGCCTTCCTCAGCCTCAAATTGTAAGCCCAAGGCTATTTCTAATTGGCAAACCATATAATCAAACACTTCAAAGTAAAAACAGAGAAGAGCCGAACTCACGCACTCAGAGATCTGACGAAGATACGAAAATGAGAAACACAACGTGAAAATAACGAGGCGATACAAGCAGATCAAGTCTAAATAATCACTCTACACTTTAAAATGATAAAATCCGAAGTTGAACCCCAAGACAATGACAAAGGATACGCAGCTTGTACGCCCGTTTGGTAGTCATGGCATGTATAGTCAGGATTTTTGGACAGCAATAGCATCAGAACACGAACAAAACCTAGAAACTGGTACTGCAACAGCGGCATTCCATTACGCACATTCCAGAAATATTTAAATCCTAGAATAGCGCAATAATTAGTGACACTGCTTCATCGACTACTCCCAAGAACCGACGATCTCCACTCACCACACCTTAGATCTCGAAAGCAAACTCCGCCTATTCTCCCACCACCGCTCCCAGCCTCAACCTACGTCACTGTAGACACAAATTTCCAAAGAAAAAAAAAACAAATCAATCAAGAAACCTCCAGTAGCCAGATCAGAGATACAAAACCAAAAACACACATACAAGCAAAGATGAAAGCCTGAAAAATAGCCTCATCAGTTTGCTTCAAGCAAGTCAAGAAAAAGCACAACACGCCACGTTTCCTACCCAAGGTAGCTTCATCTTTCTCCACTCTCACACACATTAACCACACAATAGCACAAAAATCCAAAAACAAAAATTCAAAAACATGAATACAGAGAGAAGAGTACGGTACAGTATTTGAAAGGAGAAATTTCGTAGTTTCAGAAGTCGTCGGAGTTCAGAGACGGCGGAAACGCCGTCGTCGATATCCACTTCGCTTTCCTCCACCTACACCACCACCGCCACCGCCATATCCCGCCGAGGCCAGAGCTCTTTCAGAGAGGGACAGAAGGCCAAAACTCAATTTCAAAAATAAAAAAATTGAAAAAGAAAAAAAATGAAATAGAGAGAGAGAAGAGAGTGAGGCGCTTTCACGTTTTGTGTCCCCTCTCCCTCCGCCAACCAATAAATAAATAAATAATATTTACATCGTTTTTATTCAAATAAATCACAAAAAAAAAAAAAGAATTCGAATTATTTTTTCTTTTTCTTTTCTTTCTTTTTTTTTTTGAAATTTGTTTTGAGGTGTGACTGAGAGAGGGAAATTCTAAAATGAATTAAATTTTTTTTTTTTTGGAAAAAAGGGATGCAGTGGTTTTGGTCAGTGTGAAAGCGACGTGCCACGGACCGTCGCGTGCGGGGATTTATGGGCCAGCCCAAACCTTAATGGGCCTAGTTGGATCGGGTCGGCCCATTTGGGTCAATTTCTCCCTCCGCTTCTGATTTAAAAATTGCTAAAGGAGAAGCAATATTGCAATACCGTTATCCCACCACTTTGACGACGCATTAATTAAACTTTGCTCAACTTTTGATTTTTAAATTTGGTAATTATTCTTTATTCAAATGTTTGTTTGTTGTTTGACTTAAGTTTGTATATAATCATTTCCAACTAATCATTTCTTGTGATATTTTGGGAGATATTGTTAGGAGAAAAGAGATCATTTTTTTTTCTTTGCGGTTTTTTTTCTAGTGTGAGAGAAATTTAAAAATCTAGCTGAACACACTAAATCTCTTCAATTAAGTCCTTCGAATCATCAAAAGTGAAATGTTATGTCGAGGTGAGAGACGGGACAAAAAAAGCTCGGTAAGAAACTATTTTGGTTTCTATTATCAAGTTTGAAGGGTTGCGTGTCAAAGTAACTGTTTGATTCTTCATTCATGTCAATCTTTACTAGGAGAGGGAGAGGCCCTTGTGGACTTAGAGTCTCGAAATTTGATATTTTTGGTTTAACATATAGGTTATACAAGTACTAATAGATAAACATTTGAGAGCCTTGTAAACTAACACCTAATTAGTGAAAAAATATGGCACAAATCATTGTTGTTTCGTCGTCCAATTCAAGGCCTTGATTGTCCAAGAGAGGGATTTATTCTATTTCTATTTTGGGTGAAGATATGATTTTCCTCTCTACTGATCATAAACAAAAATATTTTAGGTTATAGATAAAATAGAATTATGCATTGATTTCCCCCGAAAATTAAATACCTATAGACAGATAAAAGTCAAAGAGAATTTTAGTTTGTTTGAATCTATGTAAGTAATACAACTCAATTTTTTCAATTGGGATATAGCTCATTTTTTAACAAAACTAACCAAGTTGATTCGATTCTATTTGTTTGAATTTTGAAATATACTTATGAAACAAAATTTTGTTTCTTGAGGTATAAAGTTTAAGGAAAAAAATAGTCCATTAGCTTCCTTGAATAAAATTTCTCGATGCTAATAATCGATTTTGGTTATTTGGCAGTGGCATATGTTACTTTCAATTAATTCGGTCAATTACGGTCATATGATTATAGTCAATTCAATTTTCTTAAAGCAACAATCCTTAGATGTTTATCCATCTAATATTTTGGTTACTATTAATTTTTCTGAAATAGAAGAGAAACGTAGAAAAAGACACTTTTTATTTTTTAAAAAAATAATCTACCTAAATATTTTTCTTTCAAACATCAAATTTTTATAAATATATAAACTTTTATTATTATTATTATTAATCCACCCACTATGCTTATGATTAAATTAATGCAAAAGTGGCCCACAAACACCTTCCACTTTGTTTTTGACTCTTTTTTGATAACAAGTCAAGTCCACACCAAATTTGCATATATTTCTCATTGGCATTTCAAAATAATTTATTTCCTCTTTGATATTAAAATTTCAATGTATATAATGTCGGTGATTGGAACATATAATTATTAGTGGGAACATTACAACCACTATGAAAAATAATCTTTGGACCTTCTTTTGTGGCTATGTTATGTTTTATTAATATATGTGCAACCAAGCACCACTCAAAAATTATTGTGCAAATATATCTTTTTGAATGTGACACTTTGGGAAATAATTGAACCATAAATTGATGGGGATTAGAAGGTTGGATAGACTAACAAAAACATGCCCTATGTAACAAAAGATTCGACCAATTGAGCATCTACGAGAGAAAATTATGGGTATGTTTCGAGATTTTATTGGTTTAAAAACTATTTTGATCCATGTACTTCTAACTTTTGTCCATTTTGATTTATGTACTTTCAAATTTTGTTTATTTTAGTCATGGTACGTTTCTTCTGGTTGTTGTACTCGTTTGTTTTTTGGGAATGTAGATGTCCATCTTCAAATGTCTGGAATCTCATATGTCCGAAATTTTAGTTGTCCGGAATTTCAAATAAGCAGGTTTGTTTTGTAGGAAAATTTAGAAGGATATCTGGGAATATTTTTTATATTTGTTTTGCAGGATTTATTTGTGGAAATATTGTAAATTTATGTAATGTTCCAAACATGCCCTTACCGATCGTTATATAATTTATATGTTAAATTTAATATTATTTAAATTCATATAAAAATGGTACTTTTATTAATTTAATATTATATTTTTATGTAAATTTTAATTTATGCTTGGTGACTATTGGAAGAGTAGAATAAACGAAAGATTGCACATTTGAATTAAAAACAAATTAAGATATTATACCATTGATTGATGTTTATTTTATATCTAAATGTAGCATATAAATAAAATTATATCTAGACATTTATCAATGAATTAGTACATATATTTATTTTTAAAATAAGATAAAATAAATGAGAAATAAATATTATTGATGAAAAAATATTATAGAACAAAACGATAAGGGACAAAATTGTTAAAAAGAAGATGAGATGCTCAGATGCCTCCCATATAGGCATCCTAGGATGTCCGGGAATCCAACATTCCTATCAAATAAACACGGACATTTAAATTCCCATGAAACAAAAGACTCCTTAAAGAGTTACCAATTTGATCTCTAATTATAAAATTTTAACACAAATTTTATATGTAAACTTAGCAACTATTTAACACACATTTGTGGCTTCTGGATAAGTTGCGTTGGGGAGATTGGTTTATGAAAAATAATTTTTGTTTTCTCTCATTTTTTAAGCTTATTGTCATTGATAACCTTTATTTTCTAAATGACTTCAACTTTAATTTTTAATTTTTTTCATTGATTCTGATTTCTTCACGAATTACTGAATTAATAAATTGTTTTAAGAAACAATACAAAAAAATATTTGGTAAATAGTATTTTTTTTGGTAAATAGTATTTGTACAACCAATTTCATTAATTATATATTAACCATAAATTAAAATTAAAGATAAATTGACATTTAAATATGTAATTGGGTCATATGACAATTGGGTTTGGAATCAATTTGATTCACAAACTTGGCCCAAAATTTAAATTACCATGAGACCAGTCCACTAAGCCCGTAGAAACCTCTATAAATAGAGGGGTCTCATTCATTGAGAGAATTCACATAAAATTAAAGACTCTCTGAAAACTTGAAGATTCGAAAACCAACCTAAAGACTTTGAAGACTTAAAGATTTGCGAACAAGAACTTCGATCTACGAAATATAATTTATCCTGAAATCTCGTGTGAACTGTGTTATTTCTTTATCTGGCAGTAAAGAAGAGACATTGTAAAATTTGAAATTCGATCCCTCGTTTTTACCCTAATGTTTATAGTTTATACCGTCATTTCACACAAGCATCTATCAAGAATATTCAAGAAGAAAAGTTTTTTTCTTGAAAACTCGTCTTTTTCGTTGTACTTATACTAATTCATCTCTTTGTTTGAATTGAATATTACAATATGCACATAATTTCTTATCCAACAACTTTACTATAAAGTTTTTATACATGGAGCAAACTCAAGCAAATTACACTGTTTGGATTTCATTTGTTCCAACAAAAAAGGCCAATCATCACAATTTAGATATATAATTTAAACATTTTCACCTTCCCCTTTGATCATGCATTGTGCTACATCCCGAGTAATTTTCCAATTTTGGTAATGACAAAAATAGTTTAACAAAAGAGGATCTTTCAGTTAAAAAAAAAAAAAAACATAAAACATATCCATCCCATGCCATGACATATATTTATTATAATATATGTCCATTTATGTTATGAATACACCGAGTAATTATTTATACAGCATTCGAGTATGACTTTTCAATATACTGAATATATTCTTTCTTTTTTCTAGTACAACAAAAAGTACGGAGAGATGAACATGTATTCTGACTCTGAGGAAATGAACAATATTCTTAAATCATTGAGTTCGTTTATATTGACAATGAAGATTCATAAGAAAACTTTCAAAATTGGTCAATATATAGGTTCAACATGTACCAAGTTTGAAGTTAGAAATTGAGTTTGACAATAGTAAAAAATTGACATAAATTAAAGTTTAAAAACTTACCACTCAACTAATCTAAAGAGGAAAAAAAAAACTTACCACTTAACTCCCACGGTAACTTTTGTAAAAATCACAAACCCACGTATCAAATTTCATATTACATTAATTTATGATATATATTCCTCTTACGCAAATTCAAATCCATACCTACCTAAAATCCAACCTCTTAAATATTATACAAATTCAGAGATTTCGAACGACTCGTGAAAATAAACATTCTCTCTCTATATAATTAAATAAATAAAAAAAGTTAAAGGTTGTTTGATCCTGAAAATGATCAAGCTCGGAATATGCGAAGCTCGAAAGAGGGGTGCTGATGTGTCCAAGGTACCTATAAGACAAGGTTAGCACTCCGACGAGCAAGTCAGTCTCAATCTGAGCTATTACTTAGTGTGAGAATAGTTTTCACGTAGCTTGCATGGGAGGTAGGGATCTCTATTTATAGAGATGAACTCCAATAAGGCTCCCAACAGCGCTCAAACGACACTCCGACATTATGAAAAACGCAGCGTGTTATCGGAGAACGTGTTCATTGCCTTCATGCCTGAAGGTGTTCTTCAAAGGTCGGCTCGTACCTGAAAAAGGTCAGCCAAGAGGTGAAATTAGGTTGGCTCAGCAATGAAGTGTCGAGCTGGCGAGACTTGCGCCAATCCGCAAGTTTTTCATTGGATTAATCCTCTATATAAAGTCTTCTTTAGATGTCGATATGTGGCAGGCGATAAGAACCTACGACAAAGATTAACATCCTTTTTTTATAAGGAGAGTTTCTCCTCACCAAGATTTTAAGTGTTGATATTAGTAATAACTTATCTTTTTTTTTTTTATATTATGAAAATGTCAAGTTACTTCTCGTATCGATGTTAAACCTATAGACATATAGAAATGTCAATGAAAATATTGATATGTCGACGAAAATTTACTCACACGGTCAACAAAAACTAAGAAAAATTGAACATCTTGCCACAAAATTTCAAATGAAAAAGGCAAGTTTATGAGTAAAAAATGGAAATTATAGTTTCATAGTACTTGGTGAAGTGACAAAAAAGAACTCTCTCCCTTTTCTCTACCAGCTTCATGCTTTTAGGGGACCCCCTCCTTCATTAAAGTTCAAAACAACACATTATTTGGTACAGCAACTATTTTCGACATGTTGTACCAATCGCCAGCCAATAATTTCGTTAATGTTGTTTCAAAATGATTTTATTTTTTATTATTATTATTATATTTTTTTTAGTAGTAGTCAATATGAATTTAGCTCATCGGTAGTTAGTACCTGCTCGGAAATTTGAACCCCATATCCCAATCTCTATGAAAAATACTTGGAAGTATTAAAAGCATTGACTAAGTTTTTCAAATAATATCATAGTATTATTAAACTCATGGAAAATAATTAGAAGTATTAAAAGCATTCGATCTCTATGAAAGAAGCAAGAAGAGATGTCTCAATTTTTGAGTGACAATGATATTAGTATGTGCCTTTGTGTTTCTAAAATAAAAACTTTTGGTCATATAACAAATATGATGGAAAATGTTGAATTACTTTCGATTAGGTGAGTTTAAGATAATTTTGAAAGGATAAAAAATATGTTTACACTTTTAAGAGCACCCTTTTTGATAAATTTTAGGCTAAATTA